AAGTGACTGAGTGAATATACGATTATTTTATCTACTTAAACTGGATTTTATTTCCAACAAATTACTAATTGTCAACACAATTCAGAGCTCTGCACTAACACAAGTTGATTGGTGACTTACTATTGACAAATTAATCGTGGACATCAATTACAAAGAATTAACAATTCTTACTCTTGATGTCCTACCACGACGACTAAAATCCAAAATGTCTGACTTTGACAACGACTAAAACTCGACTGTGTAGAATTCTTCTACCTACTTACTCACTACGACTATAACAAAGAGAGACGCGCACCTAAAAATCCCACCCTGACGTCACCATGGCAACCACCACCACGTCACGGGGCAATCTTACACGCATATCCAACAATTTACAAAAATACATCATAAAACAATTTCATAAATACATCATTTTACATTTAACAGCACTTGTCAAATTGGAGCAAAGTGGCAAAGATGACGGTGCGACGAGAAAAACCAACCTTCATCATCAAGGTCCTCCAATCAAATGCCAAACCACACAGTGAACGCTTCACCGACCAACAACTCGTCCCGTGGGAATTCAATAGAGAAAATCTATTTTCAGATTTTCATCAAAATTATGAGCTCAACGTTTACCTAAAAAATAAGGTAGACACGTATTACCCATTCTCTAAGAATAATAATAGTAAAATAAGAGTAATTGGTAAAGAGATCATTGTCAAGCATCGACAAGGCATGGCCAATGTGAACCCACTGTAAATGGATCGTGCTGTTTATTGTCTAAAGTGTTACTTTCCGATAATAAATACCCATTCATTCGTGTTGTGAATGAGAGTGTGTATCAAAGATGTGAATACGTAAGAGATACTTTTTTGGTGTCTGGTTCGGAAATCGTGTCCCAGCGACTCGCACAACCAACACCTCCTCAAAAAAGTGGAAGGAATCGACGAGTAGCCACAGATTAGGAAACTTTTTATTGTTTATGCCCTGTCAATGGTGAAACTGGCCTGACCACAACAACAGCAAACTCGAGAGATATTATGGATGGATACAACAACCAGGAGCCATTTAGCTCACGGACTCAGAATTCACTCCCCAGATAAAAGGTCTCGTCTCATAAATTATTGCCACCATTCTGCTCCTGCCACTTTGCTTACCGTGATAGGATCGGTGATAAGAATGACAAGGGTGAAGGAGTTCATCATCTAAAATCATGCAAAGCCAGCACAACACACAAAACCCTCACTGCGAAAATATCAGGAACTTTAAAGAAAATAAACTCCAAACAAACTGCCAAAATACGTATCTAAATGCACCAGAGAGGTTTGAGGGGTAGGTTGTTGTGCGTGGCATTCTTAATTTGACGCCACATTATATTTTATGATAGCGTATCTACTCGACATGTCGGCATGTACATATCTGCGTCACTACAATGTAGCCAACTGCACGAGAACTAATAGCAAGATAGGTACATTGCGTAATGGGTTGATTGATTTAATTTGAGCGTTATCTTTATTGGATAAAGGCCCAAATAATTTAATTCCATTAAATTAAATTTCCCCGAATTAGAAATTCGACAACAACTTGTCGAGTTGGGAAATTTTTGTTGAAACCGGAATCGATAGAATCAATAGTGGAAATGTGTTGAATGTGGGTCTGTACGTATTTATCATGGAGCGGGTGCCCCCCGAATACAGATAATGGGAACGGATGACGGAGAAATATGGACGGATTGGATGGCGAGTGATTAGGCGATTATTGCGACGACGACCAGTTCAAACTTTGGTGAAGACCTTCACCCAAACAAATTGGTGTTGGATGGAAGAGCTCGGACACTCGCTGGTCATTAAATTTATTAGCACGGACAACTTCTTTGACGAAACCCATAATTTCATCCACTCAATCCATTTTCTCAATAATAATTCAATATCAATAACTGCACGTGTACGGAGCAGCCCCACTACTCCTTCCAGCAAGTCCTTCTTATTTATAATCCACACCTTATCCAGCCACCTCGGCTAATAGTTTTTATCAATTCATCGCCAGTTGCCTTGTGCAATGCCATTATTTATACATGCATTTCATTCCGATGAGAGCGGTGGTGGAATTTTGGGCAGTTATTCAGGCAGGCAGAGGCAGGCTGGAGGAGGATGAAGTAATTGTTGGAGGTTCAGTTTCACGGGAAAGGCTATCAGGCGACCCCCCGGGGAGGAGAGGGACTCTCCTCAGGGGCTCCATGTAGCCAACACCACCAAGGGAGAACCCTTTAATTTATACATGAGAATTTTGATGCAGATGCAGCCACAACTCGAGATAACTCGGTCGGGTGCAATAATTATCCACCAAAATGATTCCAACTTTCAGCCATTACTATCAAATCTTATTCCCTCCATCACATAATTGCCAGTCCATAATAAGAAGCAGCAGCCACTATTATTACTTCAGTTTGTACGAAACACTGGACACCGTTGGCATTGTGACCGCTGCTGATGTCACACACAGGTTTCCCATTAAATACTTTATCAATGATTCACAAATTGTGATTCACAATTCGAAAATGTTGTGAGGAATTTTCTCATCAAGCACGTGCAGGTGTGTTTATTGCCCTTGGTGCGTGTGTGCGCCCATTGTGTGTACAGGGAATAAAACGAAATTGGGAATCGAGTCCGTACCTGAGATGTAATATTTCATTCAAGTGGCGATCATCTTTTGCCGAGATGAACAAAAGTGTATCAAGCATTTTAATGGGCACTTATCTGCTAGAAAAACATGAGTATCTCGACGGGAGACGCTTGCACGAAATTACAAATGCTAAATGCGACTCAAAAACCTGCTCTGATGAGATTATACCAAAATTCTATCAAAATTATAATGTAAACTCTCATCTTGAACCAAACCAGGGCTACAAACAATTCTTCCAGAGAGTGGAATTCACTTTTTCCTGTCATATCTCATTCTTGGGGCTGCCACGACCCAAACTTTATTGCGACCGAGTGAGTGAGGGTGGTGTAATAACCTAGCGCTAGAATATAGTGCCGTGGTGGGTGCTGGTGGTGATACAAATAAATAATACTACAAGTTGATGGGAGACTATAAGAATTGCTATTCATCCTTGCTTTCAATACGGTCTCAGAGTGCAAGAGACGCAGAATTTGCTAATTTTTTTAAAACTCGCATGAAACAGAGTCGTGTAGGGGGCAGTGAAATGTCAAACACGTCTTCTGGCTCCAATCCACGCACTCACACACACACGTCAAAAGAGTTGGCAAAATAGCGGAACGGACAGAATGCCTACTACACACCTACCGACCAACCAGCATCACGGAGGTCAGGCCCGGGAGACTTCTTTGTGCACCATGTATTTTTGCCAACCAGTTTGTAAGAAGTTGGCGACTGAAAAGGCACTCGTTAGCCTGAGCCACCCGCAGGAGCGGAGGAGGGAGACAAGAGAGCGACAAGGGAGCGAAGAGGAAGCACAGATTAAAGAGCAGAAGAACTGGGAAAAAGTTCAAAGCCAAAATGTTCCTTATTGCAAATTGACGGGGTGGCTGGCTGGCTGGGAGAACATGGTAGCACTCGCACCAGAAAGAAACAGACGTCCACGACCTGTCATTTACTTTCTCTCGGCATTTCTTTTACTTCACTCTCTCCTCTCTGCCTCTGCAAAATTCCCAGTCTTCACCCAATCACGTTGACGACGACGACTACACCTCGTCCAATCGACCCTGACCCAGTCTCACAATTACATCATAAGTACAACATAACTGACTGGCGGACCAAAACTATCGGGGATGAGGCTCAAGTTAAATCCAAATTGGATTTACAGTTCACACGGTCGACTGACCTACAGCCATGGAGAGACATGAACAGAATGCATCTGAGACATAATCAATCCATGCAGCATAATCATAAATCTGCAGAGAGAGCGACGGAAATGCAATGCAGGGAGCTTACATAACTGTCACCAAAGACCAAAAGTACTGCTGACTGAGTGACTGACTGGCTAAAGGTGTAAGCACGTTTTGCTCTATTGTGCCTCCATTTATGACACAATGGAGACAAAGAATGGCTGTAAAAGTGGGAATAAAGGAGAGATTATGATACCAGAGGTGGAATTACACAACCATGTTTACCTGAGGTGGACACAATGAGCGAATTACGAGGGTTCACACCTCCTTTTTTTCGCTCTCTCTCTGCTGTTTTGTGCTACGTGATCTCATCACCTTCTGTCAATCCCCAGCAACTAATAACACGTCCACTTGCCAACAAATAAGCGACCCTGCAGGAGCCCATCATCTCACCTTCACCTCTCACCGCAAGAAAGTGCGATTGCTTTAAAATGTTTCGTCATCCGTCGTGTCAACGTCAATTCTTGATTACTTGTGCCCAATGTTGTAATCCGCCAACGTAGAAAAGGAAAATTGCACAAAGTGCAAAACTAAGAGAGAGAGAGACCCCATGATGGGCAGGAAAATCAACAAATTCACACCTTCAAAGACAGACAAAGTGTAGGCAGAAAACAATCACATCTAGAGCAGAAAATAGATTCCAAAATTATGCAGATTTCCGAAACTATGCCAAAAAGAGGCCATACAGCAACTTCTTGCTTCCTTCATTTCTCTAGGATGCGTATTATGTGGTCGGTAATAGCCACACAGCTCAAGAACCGAGAGAGAGCTGAGCAGCAGAAAGGCAAAATGATTCCGATCCCTGCAGTCACTCTCGTCTTGAGGAGTTCAACTGTCAACTTTGTACAAAATTACAAAGAAGAATGAAAACTCTCTGCACGCAATTCCTCAAATGCAGTGCTATACCCACCCCCAAACCAAAGTTTTTCAATTTGCACATTTAGTCCAACAACCCTGCTGATGATTACATATTGTCGCCCATTATTAGAAAACGGGCTCAAAGTACAACTCGACTCTCATCCCGTCATCCCCTTCTTATATTTATAAATAGGATGCCTCCCTCTGAATCAGGCCTGGACAAAAACAAGACAGCAAAACCTGTGTTCTTACCTGTTCCGTAGTTCCACAAGATCCACGAGGTTGCGAAGAAAGCGAAAATCCGAAGTTTGAGTAATTGGGGCATCCTGACTCCCATCTCGTCTCGTCCACGTCAAAAGTTTCAAAAACACTGGTTTGTCAATCAATCAACCCCTCACTCGTATTTTTCCCTTCTCTTCTCGAGGAAGCGATGACGAGGAGAAGTAAAAGTCTCGCACTGATTTCTCAAAAAAAGTGTGTGTACTGGCAGTTCAGCTTGGGAACTGGTTCATCAAAAGCAGGAAAAAGGAGCTGAACCCGGATGAGGAAAAGATGTTGATGAAGAGTTCTTCTTACGAATCCTTTGCTCTAATTTTCAATTAGTTTTCACTTTATGTCCAAAAATCTAGGAGAGAAAACAGTTTGGTTTCTGGTTGGTCGGATCTCGGATGTAAATCTGGTAGTTGCCAATGCTAATTTGGTTCAGAAGAGAGAAGACTTTTTCTTACTTACACGAATGAGGCGAGGAATACTAATTAGACTCGTCGACTACTGCTCCTTTCACACCACGCTGCCTCAGCAAACATTTTTGTCTGTTGTGTTTTCTCCGAATCTGACAAAAACAGGGCAACTGCTACTTCTGACTTCACCTCCCTTTGTAAATCTCTCTGCACTCTGGATGATTACGGGGATCCTGCGAGGAAGCAAGTCCGCTTCTTGATGAGGACTTGGCTCGACGTGGAAAAATAAATGCTAAATGCTTTTGGCAACTTTCACTCGTTCACTGCTGCTCAGGGGAAAGTGGGGTCGGGAAGATGAGACGGTGAGCGGAGAGAGAGCGTGTGAGGTCCTGCTTACTCTGACGACAGAGGCAAACTGAGCCAGAGACAGGGCAGCACGGAGGAAAAATCTGACTCGCACCACCAACAAAACTCCCTCAAGAAGAGCCAAGTGAACTCGAAAAGCATTTTTTCTCCGTCCGCACTGCGACCAGTTGAACCTCATTTGATGCCCTGATGATGGTACACTTACCAAACCACACCCACCCATGACGTCTCACATTGCCCCCTAGCCATAACGTGCAGCTTATTTTGGTCTACAATTTAACTTGAGGCGACATTGGGGATGAACGAGAGAGTTTGAGTCGAACTTTGAACTTTGAACTTGTCCCGACTTGGGGGAGGGCAAAACAACGGTTAAAATTTTATCTCATCGTCTGCAGTCTCTCCACTCGATATTTGATGAGGCTTTAATTTGGTGTATTAATTTGAGATGGTAAACAATACAATATGCATAGTGTCTTATCAAGATCTGTCTAATCTGTCTGATTGTGGTTGGTTGGCTGTGTTGCAACACATCCCTCCAACATGTTGGAGGGATTCTTCTTGTATAACTGACTGCGAATGTGTTTAATCTAAAAATAGGACGGTTATGAGAGAAAGTGAGCACGAGAAAGTGCGTCAAAAAATTATATGACGAATGTCGTTGATACTGTGTTTGCAAATATTAGATTTCAGAATTTTTAATGGATTAGAGTGATTTGAGTCAAATCATTTGACCTTTTAGAACCAAGCAGCAGTCTCAAAAGGTGAGGAGGAAATTGAGACGATGCGATACGCAAGAGAGAGGAAAGGATTGGGGCAACGAGTTCGCTGGTGAACGAGCGCCCACTTTGCTCTCAAACCGCGGATCAACACTGGACACCAAGAAACTTTGCGACGTATGACGACTTGTGACTTGACAGTTGTTTGACCGGAATAAGGCAAGTGGTCACATCGATAATTTGATACATACACCATTTACTTGTACCACATGACATTTATATTAGCATTTTTACTAAATTGTGATTTGCAGGTGTTTAACTAAATAACAATTTGTCCTTTTTAGTTTGCGGTTTAAAGGATTATTTTGTGTTTGAAATTTGGATAATCCCCCCGGCAGGGACTAACAAATCATAATGCCTTGTGAAATGATTACTTTGCAACTCGGCCAATGTGGCAATCAGAGTAAGTAAAATATAATCATTTTGCAACGAAAATTTCGTTACGAAATTACGAAACCCATCATGAGTAACTGAAATAAAATCATATTTCACATTTACAATTATTTGTTTGATGTTTCCAGTTGGATTCGAGTTTTGGAAAAAGTTGTGCGCTGAGCATGGAATAAATCCGGAAGGAACGTTAGAATCATACGCACGAGAGGGTGTGGATCGTAAAGACGTGTTTTTCTACCAAGCTGATGACGAGCATTACATTCCCAGAGCAGTTTTACTGGACTTGGAGCCCCGTGTAATAAATACCATTTTGCAGTCACCGTATTCCAAGGTGGTCACTTTCACATAATGAAATGTTAAATATTTTTTTTATAAATTGTAATTGGTTATGAACCTCGTCAAAGTAGAGCTTATAATAATACTTGTTCCTTTTGTCTTTGCATAGTTGTATAACCCAGAAAATGTATATCTGTCTCAAGACGGAGGCGGTGCCGGTAACAACTGGGCAGCTGGATATGGAAGAGGTCACAATCTCAATGAGGAAATCTTTGACATCATAGACCGTGAAGCTGAAGGGAGTGACAGTCTTGAAGTAATTTCGTATTGTTTGTGCAATTTATTGTCTAAATGTTTTATTTAGCTAGATACTTATTACTCCAAGCGTTGTATATTCGTAAGATCAACAATTATATTTATGTAGGGTTTCGTATTATGTCATTCCATTGCTGGAGGTACAGGATCTGGTATGGGCTCCTACTTTCTTGAAAAAATCGCTGACCGCTTTCCAAAAAAGTTGGTGCAAACATATAGCGTCTTCCCCAACCAAGATGAAATCAGGTTCATTAAAACGATACTAAATAATGCACAAAATTCTCTTTTTAATATTATTTTATTTTGCAGCGATGTCGTCGTGCAACCATACAACTCACTGCTCACCCTCAAACGTTTGACTCAAAGTGCAGATTGCGTCGTAGTGTTAGATAACACTGCCCTCAACAGAATTGCCACAGATCGTCTTCATATTGAAAATCCATCCTTTACTCAGATCAACTCTCTCGTCTCGACGATAATGTCCGTCAGCACGGCCACTTTAAGATACCCGTCCTACATGAACAATGACTTGATTGGTCTGATATCTCCGTTAATTCCGACTCCACGTCTTCACTTCCTCATGACTGGGTACACCCCTCTCACATCAGAACAGGAGGGGACGTCCATTAGAAAAACTACAGTACTGGATGTGATGCGGCGACTCCTCCAACCAAAAAACATGATGGTCTCTACAGCCCACGATCGTAGTGCACATCATAAATATATTTCAATTCTTAACATTATTCAGGTGAGCTTAATTCTTTATATTTTTTTTGAATCCCTTATTAATTGCAACTTTCGTAATTAATTTCAGGGAGAAGTTGATCCGGGTCAAGTTCACAAATCGCTTCAACGGATTCGTGAGCGAAAATTAGCAAACTTTATTTCATGGAGTCCAGCCAGTATTCAAGTCGCATTATCCAGAAAATCGCCCTACATTCAAACTGCACATCGAGTTTCCGGACTTATGTTGGCGAATCATACCAACATTTCCTCAGTAAGCGACTACTTTTTAAACATAAATTTTTATCTTGTTCTACAACAATTTCAGCGTATTTAAATGTTTCTTATCTATATTTCAGCTTTTCAAAGGTGTTTTGAAACAGTATGACAAACTCCGAAAGAGAGAGGCTTTCTTGGACCAATTTAGGAAGGAAGACATATTTTCTGAGAATTTGAATGAGTTGGACGACTCTCGGAACGTTGTGCAAGATCTTGTCGACGAGTATGAAGCTGCAGCCAAACCGGACTATCTTCAGTGGGGACTTAACAAACTCGTCAACGCTTAATTTCTTGAAACGCTTTAAAAAGTTACAAGTTTACGCTTCAGTTGTGTTCCTTATTATTATTTGCTCTTTGTACTTTTTGTACTTAAATCTACATAGTTCCGCTCAATATTGTTTCGTTAATTATTGTGCCATTAAGTTTGCTCGGTTTAATGCATTGGTGTAAAAACTATAGGCCCCAAAAACTATAAAATTCACAAAGTAATTTACTAAAAGATTATAATATCCTTGCTAAATCTATACCGTTATTTGCATCAGAACAAAAAATATAAATTAGTTGAATGAAACTACGAAACAAGTCGTACATGTGCATCCAGTCATTGTAAAACCACAGATCCATAATTAGATGACCTGGGTAATCCTAATTATTCAATAAGGCAAATAAGCGCATGGACGAACGTGAAACAGTTGCATATTATCAAATTCATACAAACTGTGAAAGACGGGAGGAGGATTAGAGAGCAAAACGAGAGCAAAGTCAGAATCACGCGTAAACAGAGAACTGCTGTTTTGCAAGTCACAAGTGGGTTTAGGGATGGTTGTCGTCGTTTAAATTTAACAAAGCAGTTAATATTTTAGTAGTGTAATTAATATAATCACTACCACCACCACCAACCACCATCAAGTACAATAATGATTTGAAGGATTTTTAGTGGCTTTGTTTAAAAATAGGCATATTGACATTTAAATTAATTCAACAACGTGAAAGTTTTCCAAGTTTGTAAAATGTGATACAGTTTAAAGTACGATAAGAAGGTTATGGCAGTTGTATTGTATCAGAGGTCCGAGCCTCGTCATAAGGAGTGGCTCCCACTTTTGTCCCAACAGGTCAGTCATTTATTATCAACTTTTCTCAGTAAAATAATAGATTATTATTAATAGTCCTTAATAAGCCAATTAATCTGATCATTGGATTTTAATAATGTGCAGATTCGACTTCGAAACCTGACTCAAATTATACTCCTCAACGTTTCGGAACATGTGTTGGACAAGGAAGTTGGCTATTTCACACTTCACGTCAGCCCAATGTCGGCCCCATTCTACACGAGCAGCAAGGTTCCCTTCGCCAGGGTCACGGGCTGGCCAGAAATCCAGCTTTCCCTCTGTTTCACCAGACTCTCTGCGTCCGCCGCCATCCTGAGGGTATGGACAGGGGCCGGAGTTCCTGTCCTCTCTTGGGGTGTCCACTTTCGAGGCCTTCACCACCTCGGACACCGTGACGAGTGGAACAATCATGCGTCCGAGTTTCAGCCCAACACCCTCATTTTTCTCACCCCATTCGGATCCTTTACAAGTCTTTGCAGTCTAACGTCCCCTCCAGTTCAACCCCAGCGATTCCTTCAAATTAAGACAGTCTCAGATTCTCCTCTTCGGTCGTCATATACCCTGAAGAAACTCGTCAGTTTGCATCATTATCAACGATCAGTTTTGGAAGAGGTCAGTAATTACTGTTCTAAGTAGCAATTTTTATTATTCTGTATTGCGTAATAAGAATATTGTTTCCCATTCGGACTGTTAGCATGCACTTGGAGAACGATTGAAAATGGATTTGGGGATGCACGGATTCGGAGTTGGCAGTCCAGGTGACAACAGGCAACAACCCACCCTTCTTTCGGAACGACTCATTCAACGAGCAAAGCTTGGACGACAAAAGTTACGTTTAAAGGAAGAAATTGAAGTGATTGCGCTGAAAGTGCGTGGCCTCGTGGAGGAGAAAGGTCGAGCTGAGGGGAGGATACGAAGGCTAAAACAGGACGCTACGGGCTATGAAGAATTGAGTGCAGATTTGGTGACGCGAATGCACAATTTTACAACGGAGCGAACCAATCTAAAGGAAATTAAGGCGACTTTAATTTCCAAAGGACAAAATCTTGGCAAATTCAGAGCAAGCGTATTCCTACGAAAGAAGCAACTGATCTCGGAACTTTTGCACATTTATCCTTTAGAACTTGTACGTTTTTTACCCGAATTAAAGCCGTCACACCAATGTTACATAATATGTATTTATTGTTGTGTGATTTGAACAGTTTTCGTACTATATTACAGGTCGAGGGATCCAAAAAGTACTCAGTCAACGGTGTTCAACTTCCAAATGCTGAAGATTATGGAAACGAGACAGGAGGACAGATCTCTGTAGCCTTAGGGTACACGGCCCATCTTGCTGCAATGCTGGCATTTTTCCTCGATATTCCATGCCGCTATCCCATTCGACACTTTGGTTCACGATCCCGAATCATTGACCACATCACGGTACAAATTCCTGACAAGGAGCGAGAGTTTCCTTTATACTTTAAGGGAAAAAGGGATGTCTATTGTGCCTACGCTATCTACCTGCTAAACAAAAATGTCGCTCAACTTCGGTGGTATTGCGGATTGTCAACTCCAGATTTAAGGGCAACTTTGCCAAACCTTGTGGAACTGCTCACTAGCCGACTTGTCATTCCTGGGTAACAATTTTGTATTGACTGATGCACATACTTTCGTATAAACGTACTTTAATTGGCATTAGTTAAACCATTTACTGTCAAAACTCTAGATGGCCGCCCAACATCGGAGAGGCGTTAGAGATTGCTCAAGAAATTACTGAAGACGTGGACTCTAATTTTCTGGAAAACGAATTCACCATGAGTTTGGACAAGGGGTTGGATAAAATGCTATCTGTCGCAAATGCTGGAGTGAGTACACAGTACTAACAATAGGATCAGATCAGATGAACTTTAACATAGAAATTTCATCGTCAATTTTCAAGGGTGCATATTTAGCTGACTCATTGTCGGATGGAAACCCTGGAGGCAACTCCACTGCGTTGGGAGATATTCAACACGGTCGAGGTCAAGACAGGTTTCTAAGTGGGTGGAAGAAAAAGACATACATTGAAACAGACGACTTTGACCCCAAGTGGCTGATGGATTCCATGAACTTGGACTTTGACTCTGGGCGCAAGTTGTCAATGTCGAATTCTTCTCCTCCTCCAAGACCTACTTTTATCATTACTGGCGATGACAGTGATGGTGGTCCATCCAGAAGACGAAGAATGGGACAAGTAGAGGCTCCTTCTCTGGAAAATCTACAGGAAGGAAAAATAGCAACTACGATTCAGGCCGAATTGCGACGAACCCAAACCCCTTCACGTGAAATTGCGAGACTAGAATTAGATATTAAGGAATCTGAGCGACGAAAGAGTCGTGGGGCTGCAACTTCAGTGGGGGTTCCTACAAGTTCAGAAATTAGTAGTGCTACCATTAAACAGTCTCCTCCGCCTCCTCTCTTGTTGTCCCCTTCATCTTCTTGTCCAAATATAATACCTTCACTCCCTTCAGCAAAAAATCCAGAATGGACGGCGACGGATGAGCCACGGCTTATGAGACCGGGATTTGATAGCAGTAATAGCCTGCTGGACCAACAGCATCAATCCATTAATTTATCCGCAGCTCATCGTGGTATGTAGTGTTGTAACACATGCATTATTATAAGTAATTATTATTGTAGTAGGTACATTATTTCTAATGATGGTCGTTCTTGTTTTGCTCAAATTAGATGAAATTCAAGTACAACATTCAGAAGCTTGCAACCCCGACTACCATATTCCACCTCCGTCGGTAGAAACAGTGACTTCATCGCACGACGCCGACTCCACTGAACAACAAAACGCAACGAATTCTATTCGCAATTCGTCTACCCCCTACCCTGCAGATAATACCAAAGAAGTATGCACAACCAATATGACTCAGCATTCTGAGTCAAGTCTAAACTGTGATATTGAATCGCCTTCTACTACAACTACGAATAATAAACACGAAGGCGACGCTATAAATGGCGAAAATTCAGAAAATTCAATCCTGTGGAGGAGAACGGAAGCTCTCCTTGGTTCCCAGTCATTTAATTTAGTTCGACGTAGAATGTCCACATCCGAATCAACGTGATACATCTCTTTCTAACTTGTCAAGAATTATTACGTTTTTTGAAAAACATTAAAACTATCATGATTATAATTCAGTTCACTATTATTATGGGTTGAATAAACAAGTATTATTCAGTTCATACGTTGAGGTGAGATGGTTATATTATCATTACGGGTTATATTATCACCGGTGCTGAACGGTTAGCACTTTCTTTGGAATCTAGAATTAATCTCCAATCCCATTGTGCATAATTCAGTTGGAATATGGAATGAAATACACGAATCCGCCTCCTCCTCTCTCGTGTATGTATGGATGAACCGTTAATAAATTGATGAAATTGGTTGGAAGTTGGTGGTGCTGGCGACGCTATGTATTGTGGTTTGTTGGCTGTATCGATTCTTCGATCCGCACTTACCAACAACAAACCCGAATAAGAATATAATGCTATGGGAGAAAGTCAAAACTGTCATCAATCGTCAACCATCATCATCATCACCACCAAACCAACCACCAAACACCAGGGGAAAGCAGCCTTTATTTGCTTTCTCCTCATCCTAAAACAACAAATAACTTAATGACCGTATCGTCTCTGAATACTTAGTGCTTATTACTTGCATAGTCCTCCTGATCGGTTAAAATATTAGCGAGATATTCGAGCTGTGTGTGCGTGACCCGCTCTTGCGAAATAATAAGAAGATGATCGTTGAGGTTGCCGTTGTTATCGCCAGCAATCCAGGAGCTGTCAATACGGAGCGCGAGGATGGGTGGAGGAGAAAGTAAGCAGAGCTTAGAAATCGAGAGGAATCGTCGCCTCCGTGAGTTTGAGGAGGAATTGGTTGACTCTTCTTCCGCCACGCATAGCCCCACACCCCTCACACACCAATACTTTGACCAGTTTCTGGGTCCGGGCAGCAGCAATAGAAGAGACAGCAGTGTGGATGGTGATGCCACGACCTATTTTGGACCAGGAGGAGAGGCGTCATCCGAGGGGGATGAGCAGGTTAGCGACAAGGAGGTCGAGGACGCCATAGCAGAGTTGGAAGAAACCTTCCGGACTCTGTCGCCCGCCGTCGCCATTGCAGGGCGCAAGGATGAGTTGGGGGTTCGAGAGCTGGAGCGATCCCAAAGCTGTGGCCCACTCACTCCGCCACAAATGGGGGGACAGAATGGTGGTGGGAGTCGGGATCGAGTGGGGACTCCGATGGGGCCTGGTGGTGGTGGTGGAGTGAGTGGAGGAATTGGAATTCCCAGATACAATCGCAGACCCCACGGTCATAACAATAGTTTGCCCCATCACAGAAGAGGAGGGACAGGACTGCATGTGGGGGGAGAGGACTTTAAGGGAGGAGCACTCTCAGCTCCACCCGGCGTGTCCAATGTAAGAGACGCAATTCCGCAGTGGACACCTGTGAGTTTTGCATGTAGAAAATAACAGCATGCACAGTTAATTAGTCGTAAAATAATACTTTTGAAATCTCGCAGCCCCAAATTGACGGATTTGACTTGGACAAGTTTCGTGAAGCGAATGGCGTTGGTGGTGGTGCGGCCGTGAGTGACGCGCAGGACGAGCAAGGAGCCAGGAGGGTGGACAGCGAGGAGGAGAGTTTTCGTGGTGGGGTTGGTGAGGGGGGCGTTGGTGGGGGGAAAAGGGGGGCCAAGGCTAAAGGAGTCTCTGCACCGCCATACACGAGGGAGGAGGTAATTGAATAATTATTAATAAATTTAACTAATTCAAATCCACAAATAAAACAGAATTATTTGAACTATCATTCCAAGTTTTATTTTAATTAGATGGAACTCCTCCGGAAGTTGGAGCGAGAAGTCTGCTAACATTTTGACCCCATGCTGACTATTGACCAGAAGCAATTAATGCTATACACATAGTTTTCTTAGATGGGTTTAATGCTAATCAATCAATACGTGACTCAAATGGTGGTGTCAAATGAATTATAAAAGTGCTAAACGACGTGACCTCAATATCTACGATATAGATTTTCTGTAATGATATTTTAACATTGTTCGACTCTATATACTAGACCATGTATTATGCATACCTGGATAGATTGTATTTAGATAGATGGTTGCGTAGATTAATCTATTGAAGTAAGTGTTCATGTGTATAATGATAACCGTATACGTGGGAGAAAGCAATAATAAAACGTGCATGTACCATGAGGAAAGAGGAAACTCTCTGAAATGTTGCATGAATGTTCATTTAGTTCAATGTAATTATATATTACTTACGTAACAGGAAATGGTACAACATTATATCAGCGATAATCAAGAGCGTACTTAACTACGAACTGTGTAATACCGCAGTACCATTTCAACTTTGAGAAACTTAAATTAGTGCAAATATTTGGCTAATGCTATTGACATTGGAGACGAGATCACCACGATCGCATCTATTCATGTATGCATTTGCAAGCATGGAAAAATATATGATTGATAAGCCGTGTGACCCTCATGACGGCACAGACATATGAAATTCATATTATGAATGTCACATAATTCACACAGAATACTGGTGATAATAACAATCAACACTTTTATGCACCACCACCAAGATTTGGATTGCAATGAAGGGAAACTTGAACTAGTTGAGCTGTTATTAACTGAAACTGAAAACAGATGATGGGAAACTAGCGATTGTTGAAATGAACAATGCTGTAACAAATTAAAAGAAATTTCAATTTCCACCTCATCCTGTCGGTAAACGAGAACAATGAAGTGAAAGTGAAAAGAAGATTAAGATTTTCAGAGAAACGGTACTTGGTTTGGCGTCCTTAATTTTGTGCTACTTTTGTTCCTGTGCCCGTGACGTCATATCTTGCATACAGTGTGGTGGGTGTGGCTTGGTGATCTATTCAGGCCGATAAAATTAGTGCACTACATAGTGTGTTATAGTAATATTTGTTCCCGTTGCAGCAGTCAAGATGGGACATGAAAGAGTTGGTGAAATGGACGACGGGGTGCGGACTCGAGGAACAAATAGGCAACCAGCGGCACCAAGAGAGAATCAAAGGGACCAGGTAATTACTTTTACACGAATATCATTGAATAACTGAGATAGCTCTAGCTATGTAGCCCAAGTGAAATGATTTAAACTTGTTTCATGTCCATGTTCAGGCAAACGAAGGACGAGAGATGGAGATCGTTGAAGCTACCGTTGCAGGCTTGGTCGGCCTGATCACTGCCGTGGGGGCCAACCTATTCACAAGATATGTCATCCACTACCTAACGTGATCCTCAAGTCGTCAACCTCAATCCGTCCTACGTGACCAGGTCCAGTGCAATCTACAATCTTCTATATCTTCTGCATATCAGTGTGAACACTGCTAAAATAACGATGTCAATCTTCCAAGTTCTTCCAGTTCCAAAGATTAGAGTTTATCAATCCATTAATACTACAATTCAAGCTTTTGTACAACTTTTTCATTTGAGAAAAACCGAGTAAAAATGTTACGATGATTTGTTGACCAGAATTAAGGATTCAGAATTGATTGACACTTGTCATTTTCTTCAAGAGTGCTTCGCCTTCGCTTCATCTCTTGCACTCTTTTGCTCATGTTGCGATGCTGGCGCCCATGTCATGCCATTCCGTCATGTCAGTCCATCAGATGATGAGAGGTCAGCAGTGGGGGTTTACGAGGTGTGAACCACTTTAAGTGGATTGCACAATACAAACTATACTAGATACATGGGAACATTCTCAGTTGGTGACGTATTTAGAACTGATGATGCTCCACGCATGGCCCAAAGGTTATTAGTTGTACGGAGGGAGACTGGGAGAGCCATGGCACGATCATCAGTGTGTAGCTGCCTTCCTTCCTGGCCAGTCGCCAATCCTCACTCCTTCACATTCATTCTATTTAAAATTTAAATTTCTCTCCTGTAACCTGCCAGCATTGCGGGGCTGCCCTGCCTCACAACAACTTTCGACGCATTCCATTCAGCAGGTCAGTAAGTGGACACCTCGGGTGGGAACATGGGAGGAGAAGGAGGACGATGGACTCTAGCCGGACTATTTTTCCTTGTACTTCCGCTTCTTCTTGAAGGGATACAGCTAACAGATTATGGTGAGTGTGTTTCTGAACTTGTTGGCCCAGTTGGGGAAGGTGGTGGTGGGTGTGGCATTTTCATCACGCATCAGGACACCCAATTCAGCACACAGTTAGGTGTATGCATTTCATGCCGGCCATGGTCCGTGTTTGCTCCTTTTGAGCAGAAAGAGAATACGTGCAAAAGTGTGCAAATTCCGAGTAACCGGACGACGGAAAGTTTCTCACTATGCTATATCGAAGAAGGCGAATATCGTATTGGGTTGGGTGATGCTGATGCTGCTACTCCTGGGTTATCCATCCAATTCACAAGACGAAATATCGCCTTCCTTCTATGCAGGCTACCGTCCATTTCTACGTACACCCAGAGCTGCACGTAGCCAAAAAACTGTCTCAACGGCAACTAACCCAAGCGTCATCAGACCATGACCACGAGATGAAGAAATTGAAATTGAGCAGAAAAAATAATAAAATAGTAGATCAGCAGATTAGATCCAGCAGAATAATTCTTCTTGGGTGGCTGGTTCCACATCCTGCGATGTACATGCATAAATACACCTTCAAAAAATTACACAAAACTCAACCACTTGAATTTCACTCTCATGCATTTGCATTTGCACTCCGGACTCGCTTAACAGCCTCATCAGTGGTCACTCTCAAGGTCAGAAAGGAGTGAGATGTCTTGACACCCGTATGAAACACGAGGATGATTACCTACATGAAAAACACACATGATCCATCATCCATAGATAGATAATTAATAGAGTATAAAGCCACATACTCACATATTTAATAATTACATGTTTTTGATGTATTAATTTTTGCAGAGCTTGTGGTGGGTAACGGGGCCAGACTGTTGTTCTTTAACTACAACCACTCTCTTAACGTGGACGTAACTGAGTGGACGCCAAAGACCAAAATCATCTCCATCGTTCCTCACGTCCCCTCCAACACCCTTTATTTCACCGTCAAGACCAAGGACACTGCATCCATTTTTGCCTTCAACCCCCACAAAAATGCGACTCAATTACTTCACAGAGGTGTGTGCCTTGTTGTCCCCCTACAGTTAACGAAATGTCTGACTTATTGATTGAGGATTATGGTTTTATAGGAGTTAAAGGATCCGTAGGGACCTTGGCTATAGGGCTGAAAGAGAATCAGGATACTCTATTTTGGGCGAATCCGTTGGAACGGTCGGTTTGGAGTCAACCCCTCTCGCTAGCATCCAATGCCACCCTCCTATTCCAGGATCCTAACGCTACTTTCGACAGCATTGCATTCCATCCAGCAACTGGGTAAGCCATTTAAACAATTGCTTATATACGGACATCAGAGTGTAGATTTATTTATGGTTTTTTCTTGTAGGCAAATTTTGTACACGGTGTGGAGACGTAGTAATGAGAGTGAGATTCTGGCCTACAACCTCGCAACTCATACCACGACGAGCCTTCTTGGGGATGTCTTCCAACCTCGAGGTCTGCATGTGGACGTGGCTGGAGATTCACTGTATTGGATTGACAATCCTCCAGGCATCTATTTCAATGTGGGGAGGGTGGACTTGAGGGGATTGAATGGTCAGACCGCCGACCGAACAGTCCTCCTGAAAGATCAGAATCAGCACCCCTTTGCCCTCACCCTCGCCTGCTCAAACCTACTCTGGACGGATCTCATGAACAAGGCTTTGTGGGAATGGAGCCCGGAACTGAAAACTTATAAGCAGCTCATGTCCTTCAATAATACGGCCCCGCATGGCCTTGCTCGCCTAGCCAACCCTACGTGCCCTCCACCTAATGAGATGACGACGACGCAATATCCTCATTCGATGCTTCCTTCCCCCGAGGAATCTAGTGTAGAAGATATCGCACCACCACCATCTACAACAATTGGAGAAAACGGTGTCAACCACCATCAAGTCAGTAACATATCCTCGTGTGAGGTTGAGGAAGAACGAGTATGTCTCAATGGAGCAGCATGCTTTAAAATACACGACCAACTTCACTGCCTGTGAGTTTATTTTTCGATACTTTCGTATGCAGATGGTTAAAATACATAATAGCACTTAATTAATTTTTATCCTTGCTGTAGATGTAAACCAGGGTTTTTGGGACCAAATTGTGGGGATGAAGAAGAGAAGAGGGGGACAGACTGTATTAAGGCAACCGAGTGGGCATCCTCCAACAACAACCCTTCAATGACACCAGTAATTACGGTTGCCCTTGTTGGTTTGACTTGCCTGGTTGTCGTACTTTTACTCGTGGTGGCAGGATTGCTTTGCAAAGTGCGGCGTTGGCGGAAGAAGCCCACCATCCGGAGACGAGTCGTAGTGTCACATCGATCCGATCTAGAAGCCAACCCTTCAACCGTCTGTGAAATGATTGACATTGAAAACTGTTGTAACATGAACGTCTGCGAAACGGTAAGAAACAATTTATCCATATGTACGACGATCAATGTTTTTTTAAGTCTAACAAGAAGACTTTGCTAATATAATGTGTTTGTAATTATAGCCATGCTACGAACGGATGGGGAGTTTCAGCGTTGGTTCTTCTGTCGAGTCAGGAGGGGGACGGACCAGAAAGACGTCGGTGAAAGAAGACAAAAAGTGCCTCCTCTCATCGTCTTCTTGAAGGAATATCAGTAGCTATTTAAACATTGCTACAGTACTTGGTGCGTCTCTGCCCTGCTGAGAAACCAGCTGCACCTTGTACTATTTTTGTTGTATGGACGTTTATCATTAGTATTAACAAGTCGGTTGTGCTTTAGAATGAAGTAATTGTTTAAGTTTCGTTAGCAAAAAAGAGACTATAGTTTCAAGATAAAAGTGTTGATCACACACTTTAAAAGACTTAAGTTATCGTTTAGTGCACAAATAATAGTCAGCATTCGTCGGTCCTCTTTTCCTTCCCAATAGGTCGGACCAAGTTAGTAGAGTGGAGAGTTATAAATCTCAGGAGAAATCTCAGTTGCTCAACAAGAATAAGAAGCCCTGACCCTGCCAAAAAAGAGGAGATATCATCCAGAGCTCTCTTTTTAGATAGTTTTTCTTTTTTGGAGACGGGAATCATAAAAGTCTGAACTTTCGTACCTCCGAGGATAACCCTTAATCGATCATTGCATGATTGGATTTGGGGTTATCCACAGTAAAATCTTTACATTTTTACCCATCACCAACTGAGATTCATTCAGCATTCTAGAGATGCTTGTTCATTTTAAGGCAGCCAACATATTTGTGATTGTTGAATTTATGACACGAGAAGTGATCTTCATTCGACTTGAATTACAACGTGTAGTGATATGTGTGTACTTTTAGAGGCGAGCACAAAGTTACCTATGTATTTAGAATTAAAATAAAATGGAGGCTGGGTGGACCACCTTCAGCGACCAGGCCCCTCAAACCCATACTAAATATTTAGTATGATGCCAACTACGACGCTACATAAATATATTCTATTATTCCTACCCGTGTTCAATTAATAAATACGTATTAATAACTTGGCTTGGATACGAGGGATTTATTTGGAGGTGGTTCTAGTAAATTTTTAGTCAAATGTTGTTCAGAGTTTATCCAAGACAAACATTAAATAAAGACAGACCTATTTTATTTACTGTATATATACTTAATTATTGCGTATCGATCTTCTGCACTAAAACAAGTGGCATCTACTACTTTTTCCGCGTAGTGTTTGATCACACCTGTATTCAATTTTTTATCCACGCACAGGAGTTCTTGGGCTATTTATTTATTTGTCATGTTTGTTTAGAGTCAAGTAAAGTCATTGTTTAATGTTGTACCCTGAAGCTGGTATGTTCTTGGAAATTACACACCGACAATGACTCGGGCATTGCATACGAAATATGCTACGTATTGTTGTTCGCAGTCAGGCAGCGTCATGGTCATGAGCCACTGTTACTGGTTGATGTTGGTGCATCTACTCCTCATTTTGCATTCTGCCACCCCCATGCACATTTCTTACTGCGGTTCGGACGGTTCCTTGATCACTTTAGGACACAACAGCTGCTCTGGTGGGTTCAATTTCGGACCTCATAAACTCTCCTGCGTCTGCATCAGTGGAATGTGAGTATAGTCATCAAGTGGCCCCATGTATGTACGTAGTACGACATTTTTGGTTGTGATTGATCTCTGGCCTCCACCTAGCTACCGACTATGGATGGACAACTGCGTGGTCTACGATGGTTTCATGGACGGCGGATGTTCCAGTCTTATCGTGGCTGCGGGAGAGGCGGCTGACACTGTTGGCGTCGTGTCTAGACTTCGGTTCGCGTCTGGTTTGGAGTCGGAAGAGCAAGAGTGGGTTAACTCCACGACCGCAGTTTTCTCGGCCTCTGCCAGTCGTGACTACGAAAGTTGGCAGGCCTGGGAGGTGGGATCGAGGGCATCAACTACGGCCGACAACTTTTATACGACGGTATGCTACACATAAGGGCTTTCTTTAGAAAGGTATGCAAATATTTAGGATTTTCCTCACTAACCACAGCACGGGGACGCCTTCCTGCTCACGAGCACGCCGCCAAGGATATGTGTGGAGAGGAAGTTGAAGGATTGGGATGAGATTTGCAGATATTTCAGAGAGGAGAACAACCAACTCTGGGGTCCAGGAGGGATCGAAGTGCAGGTGGAGGAGAACTGCGCAGCTCCCTTCGGAGCCAAGAAAATCCCCCTGCGATCGGGCAGTTGCTACAACATTATGAGGCAGCAAGACTGTGAGTCCTTTCTTTGAAGTCAGAAATAATCAAGTGATGAATTAGAATGATGATGTCGATAATATTCTTTACAGCAGAATGTACACTCTCGTGTGGTGGCAGTGGTGGTGGTGGTGGTGGAGAGTCTTCGACTTATCCAACCCCACCCATCTCGACTTCTACTGAAAAGGTGACTGAAGAAAATAAACTCTTGCAACGCCGATCCCCCAGCAGCAAAAAGTCTGATAATGACAAAGGAAGAGGTGATATCAACAAATCTGCGAACAAATCCGTCTCCACTTCCTCTGAACAGAACCCTTTCAAAGCAACCACAGCTCACCAACAAACTCAACAAACCAACTTTTGGTTGAACCGGAAGTTGAACCATTACTCAAAACTGCGTCAAGTTGGATACCTCAAAGCGCACGACCTCACACAAATACCGCCCACTCGCACTTTTGAACTTCTCGAGTTGATTCGCGAGATTGGGAAGCGTGTCTGCGGAGGGGATCAGTACGTGTCGTCACTCTACATTGACCAAGCGCTCGACCTGTTCGTTCTCCTCCACAAAGGACGTAACTACCGATACACGGAGGATTTGGGGGGATCGGAGGCTGGATGGATTCGCACAATTTTGGGTGGCTGCTTACTAGATGCCAGACCACTTTCTCTGGTCATGGGAGACACGGCGCCACCCGGGTGCACGGACCTTCAGAAGGTGACGGGTTTCGTATAAAATATATAAGTAATAGCAAAATATATAAGTTATAATAATTTATCAGGTGACCGGGGTCTGCGCGGATGGACTCAACAATTGCACTCAGCTGAGGGTGAGCAAACGCCATGGCTTTGAGGACGGAGACGGGCTCAGCAACGGCGGGGTCTCCTCCACAATCGGGACATATCATCTCGTTGTCGAGACTGCGTGGGACTTGGTCGACTTGGCGCAAGTCGTTTGTTTCCCAGCATTTGCTCAGAGCTACAGAATGTTACATCAGTGGGAACAGGCGACAGAGAAACTCTTTACGAGGGAAATTCGCAAGTTGTGGTGGGTGTGGTTTCATATTTTAAGTCTGACTCTGCGAATGTACATTATAATGCTAATATTACTGCAGGCATAATCCTGGTTTATCGATGAAAGCCTACCAAAGCCTGCTAACACCATCCGCTGGGGTGGACGCACACAATTTAGAAATGTGTGTCGAAGGAGCCTATGCACTTAACCCGTCCCTCAGCAGACTCGTAAGACCACCTGAGCCGAGGAGGTTCTTCAAGAGAAGGTATCCTCCCTGTTCATGTGCAAAAATTGTGTGCAAATTTTCATAATTTTCATGTTTATTTTGGTGAATTTTTCTGCAGGAAGCGAGACACGGAGCAGGTTGCGGCGGACGTTTATTGCAGGGCGACAGAACCAGACTTTGAGTACCCATGTTGAGATGCGGACCAATTTTTAATTGGAATTAGCATTGCATTGCTCATTTAGCCTTCTTATATGAGTTATTGTATGACTTGAAAATAAAAAGCGAACAGAGATCAAGATTATTCTCATGTTTCTCATCTTGTTTTATTTATTTTGCATTGGATCACGTCAATCTGCCCCGAAACTGTACACCGGCCAAAGTCCAAATCCATTTCTACCAGCAACACTTTATCAGGTGTCAAGCAGATCAAAGATTGACGATTGAAAATTAAGATCGGCTGTGTGATGACCACAATTCTCCGCCGAGTGGACCACAGTGTGGGTAAGGTTGTCTCCTTTCCTCTCCTCCTAATTACGTAAAATTACTAAATCAGCGGAATTTTTCTATTGTTTGTTATCTATTATTAGGATGTATCTGGCGCTGGAAGATAGTCTCTCTGAGGTCATTTGCCTCCTCCTCATCCAACACCCCAAAGATCACCACCCACTACACAATTCATCCTCGCGACAAGGATCCACGATGGAAAGGTTCGAGCACTGTTTCTAAAACTCACTTGCAACCTTTTAATCGTCCTTATTCTTAATTTTTCTTCCCGCAGATGTTGATTTTACCCGTGTTGCGGATGAGGCCGATGTTGTGATTGTGGGCGGTGGTCCTTCCGGTCTATCCACTGCCATTCGCCTTAAACAGCTTGCCGCTGCAGATGGCGGTCGCGAACTGAGAGTTTGTGTCGTCGAGAAGGCGGCGGAAATTGGTGGTCACACGCTTTCGGGGGCCGTCATCGAGCCAGCCGCACTCACTGAACTTATCCCCGACTGGAAGGAGAAGGGCGCCCCTTTGAACACTCCCGTCAAGGAGGACGTGTTTTCCCTCCTCACCTCAGCCACATCTCGCCTCCCACTTCCCATCCCTCCATGGGTCCCTCTTCACAATCACGGCAACTACATTGTCCGGTTGGGTCATTTGGTGCGATGGCTGGGTGAGCAGGCAGAAGGGCTCGGCGTGGAATTATACCCCGGTTATGCCGCAGCGGAAGTCCTCTTCGACGACACGAAAGAGGGAGCAGTGAGAGGAATCGCGACTAACGATGTGGGAATTGCGAAAGATGGATCCCCAAAGGTGAGACTGTTTGGGTGACCTTCAGTGAATCCTCCTCTAACCCAAATACTTGCATGTGCAGGCATCTTTCGAACGTGGGATGGAGTTCCACACACGCGCAACCGTGTTTGCAGAAGGGGCTCATGGCCATCTCACAAAACAGTTGGTCCGCAAGTTCAATCTCCGGTCAAACTCGGAACCCCAAACGTATGGGATTGGTCTGAAAGAGCTGTGGGAAATTCCGGCAGAGAAGCATCGTCCTGGGAGAGTTGAGCACTCGGTGGGGTGGCCTCTGGACAGCCACACGTACGGGGGAAGTTTTCTGTACCACTTGCAGGATGAGAGTCCCCTCGTGGCGTGCGGCTTCGTTGTGGGATTAGACTACGCAAATCCGTATCTCAATCCATTTAGGGAGTTTCAACGATGGAAACACCATCCCAGCATCAGTGCCACGTTGGGAGGCGGTAAGAGGTACATGGGAGCTAGCGAATAAAAATTTAGTCTGGATGCATATTGCTACGATTAATTTAATTAATTTAAGTTTTGATTAATTTTTTTCCAGGATAAGTTATGGAGCCCGTGCTTTAAACGAGGGCGGTTTTCAGTCCATTCCAAAGCTTACCTTTCCTGGTGGGTGTCTCATTGGATGTGGAGCTGGTTTCCTGAATCTGCCAAAAATTAAGGGAACACACAATGCCATGAAAAGTGGGATGTTGGCGGCTGAGAGTATTTATGAAGCCTTGGTGGCCAGCTCAGACAAAAGTAAATACAACATGGAATTAGTTTAAAGACTTTTTCGTCCCATCTAATAAGTTATTGTTTGATTCCGCTGCAGCCATCGAACCACTCTCTTATCCCGACAAGATAAAGTCGAGCTGGATTTGGAAAGAGTTGCATTCCGTGAGGAATGTGAGACCCTCATTTCACACAGGTTTAGGTCTCTACGGGGGTCTCATGTATGCGGGCGGAGTGTACGGATTCCTCCGAGGAAAGGAGCCTTGGACCCTATCGCACGGCACGGCGGATCATGCCCGACTGAAAAAATTGTCGGAAGCAACTCCCATAGATTATCCAAAGCCGGACGGTGTTCTTAGTTTTGATCTGTTGAGTTCTGTGGCTCTCACGGGGACGAATCACGAGGGGGACCAACCCCCACATCTCACTCTCGCCAATGATGCCATCCCGGTGGAGAGGAACTTGAAAGAATTTGGCGGTCCAGAGGGCAAGTTTTGTCCTGCAGGTGAGGATTTTCTCACAAATTATTACAATGGTCAGATAGAGTATCATCATTGACACGGTATGCATTTTCCTTAAAAAAGGTGTGTACGAGTTTGTCCCAGTGGAATCTGGAGATGGGGAAAGACTGCAAATCAACGCTCAAAACTGTATCCATTGTAAAACATGTGACATTAAGGATGTCTCTCAAAACATTAACTGGGTGTCGCCGGAGGGTGGGGGTGGTCCAGCGTATGACGGAATGTAATCGTCTCTTGCCTCTAGTTCTTACAAATATCATAGATTATTACGATTTGGGTGCTGTATCAACAAATTATTCTTAACAAGACCGATAATTATGTAAATTATTATGCTATGCAAATTGTGTATGATTAGTAAGAAATAGGAGACAATAATAGTAACTTTATTTTTCTGTGGAAAAGTCGTTTCGTAGCCTGCCTGCATAACCTTGACTTTGACTTGACCATCTCAATAAACCAGTGTCAATTGGATAGGATATAGCATTAAGCTGCTGTTGTTGATCACAATCACGTCTAATATTAGCCTATCTACAGATGCATGTAATGTACATGTTGTGCATTATAGATTCTCTTCCCCTCCACTGTTTCTCGTTTAGTCTCATTCACACTGTGACCTTCGATATATTCACATTCCATCCTCTCCCCGAGAATCATACACGCACACATTTTACTAATTCAAGTTTAAACATAAAATTATGGCGTGTGCCCTCACTCCGGCTCCCAACGACCTTCTGGGTCTCATTCAACTGCGACGACAACGGGCCACACAGGTCGTGCTTGAAGCAAAACGGCAAAAGGGGGCGACTTGGGAGCAGATTGCAACCGCTGTGGGACGTTCACCAGTTTGGGTAAGCATGTCGATTTGCGTATGCCTATGCAATTGTGAATTATAGTCACGAGGTTATATGCATATTAATTCAGGTGACATCGTGTTGTCTTGGGGAGAACGCGATGGACGTCGAGAGTGCCGAGAAACTGGTTGCTTTCCTCGGTTTGGAAGGAGCAGAGGCCAAAACGACGGTCGAGGTTTTGGTGGCTTCCGTACCAATGAAGGGCCAGCTCGATTGGAGCCTTGCTGTTCAGGATCCGACGATCTACCGACTTCACGAAGTTAACCAAATTTATGGCCTCACTTTGAAAGAGTTGATTCAAGAGAAGTTTGGAGACGGGATCATGAGTGCGATCGATTTTACAATGGAGTTGGAGAAGGAGCAGGATCCCAAGGGCGACAGGGTCAAGATCATCATGAGCGGAAAGTTTCTTCCATATAAAAAGTGGTGAAAACAAATTATGAAAAATAAATCTTAATTCGTAATCTTTGGATCCTGTTGCGTGTTTGATTTTTGTCATTTTACGTCATATTTAATTTACGAGGAAATTTAAACCTGTACAGTATGATAAATGCATAATTAATGTGTAAAAGTAGAAAAGCTATACAGCGCCCTCCGCTCTGTTTCTTCCCACGTCGAGCAGAAGAGTCAGAAATGGGAGGAGGAGGAGGATTTGTGGGGGTGTGGAATAGGGCGAAGTACTGTTGGCTAAGGTGTGGGCGTAGTGAGCCAACCCCAGCCCAGCCTTGATGTTGGAGTGCAGGGTGTTGGTGAGGGTGACGTTGGAGTGCGGAAAGGAGGCACGGCACTCGAGGGTCACGCTTCCGTCTCTGATGATGGTCGAGTCCACGCGGAGGGCGAGGTGGGACGTGGAGCTGTAGAAAGTCGTCCCGTCCTCGCCTTTCCCAGCCTCGTAAGTCTCCCCTCGGACACACCCCCCGCAACTGGAGGGTCGGATGGGGGCCTTGTTGACCAGCCAGGAGAGTGAGGGCGAGGGGAACGCCCTGTGAATGTGACAACTCAGCGCCAACTCCTCTCCCACGTTGGTCCAGGGGTGAAGACCGGAAATTGTTGGACCTCTTTCCGGAAGGGCTGATTCATAAATCGCAGATCAATTAAATTCTCATTTTTCTAAAGATCAACTTAACTAAACTATTGTAATTATGTGTCACCTATGACTCGTAAGAGATGATCTTCTCCCAGTGTTTGGAAGGATGGTGCTTCAGCCGATATTTCACAGCGATAAACGCCAGCCGATGACATGGCAATCTCGTCCAGTCTGACTTTGTTGATAGAGGAGCCACTCACCTACACACATAATAAATACGTACAAAAACATGTCCAGTAATATTTTTAGGTAGCATTCCTCACGTTGACGGTGACCCCTTTGAGAGGAAAGACGGTGATGTGCGGCTGGTCTGACGGTTTGAAGCGGAAGAACTCGTCGTTGTCCTTGTACCATTTCAGGGCGTACAGACCAGAATCCTCCAAACCCAGCTCAAACCCACATTCCAGAATTCCACCCTTCCCAAGGATGACATACTCGGGGATGACGACGGACGTGAGGCGCAAACTGGACACGATGTCTGAAAATTCCCAGAAATTAGGATCCCATCAACCTTTTTTTCCCTTCTTGTGTATCAAATAAAATAAATAAAGCCGGAGGAAGAAGATTGAATTCTGAAATCATAAAATAAATTGAAAGTGGACCAGAGAGCTGGTTCAGTGAGGGAGAGCAAGCAGTAAGCGAATTGTGTACAAAATTCGTCTATGCAGTTTCATTTCGTGTTCCATCACCAAAAAAGATCTCGGAAATATTCCTCCATTTTTTTGTCTGGATGGATTTCAACCATTTTGAATCGTGAAGTGGTTTGGATGGTGATGCAATTCAATTCATTTCGTCCTGGAAGAGACTGGAAGAGATGGCACTTTGCATGGACAATTGAACAAAAGTGCAGAGACATTGCGAGGAGGAAGTCAAGTTAAAGTAGTCGAAGGGAGCCTGGCCTGGCCTGGGCTGCATCCATATTTTTCATCGTCACGAAGATGAATCCCATTGACTTTGAATTCAATGAACTGGATGATGTGACAGTGCAGCGGAGGCGGAGGAGGTCATAAAATAGAGTCAACACTGAAATTGTTCCAGCTAAAGGATGAACTGCTCCTCCCGACTGTGGAATCGTGGAGAGATCATAAAAATGAGGGATGGAGTTGATGCTGCACATTTTCATGGCTTTTAGAAATGTGCTTGACAAACTGCCAACGGACTCAACGACAGTTCCTCTTAAACCAAGAGCTTGTATTTCTATGCGAGCAATTAATTCCTCGTGCACGACAACAAGAGGGGACGCGGAAGAAGAATGAGCTCATAAATCTTGGGCTAGTTGGCCTTCTTATCAACATTCGACATGGCACATTGGGAAAACATTTACACGAGGGAGACCAGACCAATTAATGGGGTTTCGGATGAACGCCCACAATAAGCAATCCACAATAAGCAATGGTGGGCGTCTTGTAGTTTATTTAGTAGAGAGGAAAAAGCAACACCAGCAACAACCGACCAGCCAGAGATGACAGCAGTAAAAACTTGCTGGTGGTGGAGAGAGGATTAATAAAGGTTGCTTTGTTGGTCTGCTGGCCACCACTTGTGGGCGGAAGTGGAATGGACAGCGAGAGAGAAAGCTGGACCAAAGTTTTACTTTTGTTTAGTTGAACGTGGAAGCAATGAGTCACCCAAGTCGGAAACAAACAGGGATCACATCACCTATCTCAAAAACGAACCCCATCCATGCGGGTATCTATCTCTCGGTCGAATCTCCATCTCAGTTTAGGAGCCGCATCCTCTCTCTGCAGGCCTAATAAAATGAAGTGAATAAGCGAGGATGGAATCTGAAGTCTGAAGTTTGGTTCCCTGGAGAGCGAGTCGGGATGAAAAATGGTCGCATCCTCTCAGGATCCATTCATTAAATAAAATAAAACTAGCCAAGGCCCACACACACCACAGGTCACACAGGCCACTCGCACCACCACTCCTCCTTCGTCTGCAAAGAAAGTGCCGAGTTGTAAAAACAGAGTTTAAGTAACATGCTGGGGCTGAAGCATGAGTGGAGGGGCTGAGAGCTGCGAGAGAGCGTGTGACCCAAGAGCAAATGCGGAGCAGATTCGTCCCTGGAAAGCACAAGATGAAGAAGAATAACTTTCCCATGCTTGTAAAACTTCTCATTCTCGGCACAATGAGTTTTCGGAGCGGGTGATTAGGCCGTGGTGGTGGTGACCCTCTGGGGAGTATCACTTCATTCACTTCCACCACCACCACCAGACGAGTGGCAGTCTGCCTATCGCTCCCAGTCAGCCCTTCGAGATCTCCTGTTCGCCCGGCGTATGTACACACACTATGCTCCCCATCATCTAACAGCACAAACGCCTATTGGCAAAACTCCCACTCTGCTCCAAATGTTGTTTATTCATTCCGGATATAGTCAATCAATCTCGTCGTCAATTAGCCCATGTATGCGCGCAGTGGATGGATGGCTGGGTGGGTGGGGAAGAAAGGCGCCGCTGGAAAAGAGGATCAATGTGCATGCTCATTTGAATCTTGAATTCAGGCAGAAGCCGATCTCTGCACAATAATGTTCCAATTACACACGAGAGGAGCATTTAAATGCCCAATTGCACGCCTCGGCGTTATCGCGAACTTCTCATCTCCTCATCTTGCTGAATAAATTGCTTCTTTTACTTTTTATGACCTAGGGAGCAGCGAGAGAGAGGCAGATAAGCGGGGTGGATGGATGAAGCTGCTCGAGTTTTGATACCCGAGTGAATTGATCAGATTATTATTATATTCCATCCATCCAACAGCCCCGCAGCAGCCAAATAAATACACATTTGTTCCTCGGTTCGCTTAAAGCAACCACAGCCCATTGTTGGCTCAAGAGAGAGAGAGAACAATGCCACGCGACCACATCGACTCCTTCTGCCTGGCTGGAAATAAGGCAGAGAGAGATGCTGGGATGGATAGTGAAATATGATCTCCAGTTTCCAGTCGTTACAAATAGTGTGTTCTACGTACGTGCATCATGCGGGCATGAGGCGACCCTCCCCAACAATCGGCATCATCAGTTACCATCCTTCTCCTGCAGTAGAAGCAGAATCCCCCGAGATGAGCCCTTCACAATAATTCTCTCACAGACCCTCATTGTGCCAAGAGGGGCACGCACTCCACTTCACAATTTGTACAAATCTGGGCCAACTCACTGGCTGAACACAGCTCGCTCCCTTCGTCATGAATGCAGATCAGCTCACCTTTCTCGGGGTGATCCATGGCTGGATGATGATGTGATGCCATGTGGGCTGGAGGACAATAGGGAAAGTAATGAGAGAGCAAGTGTTCACCCTTCACAACTCTCGTTCCATGGGAAAGGCCAACATGTGGTGGAAGGAGGCCTAGGCGAATTCGAACAGATCCATTTCTTGGTCCACATTATAAATGACACGGGCTGAACCTCACCAACTTGACCATTAGGAAACCTCCTAGCGCAATACGACAGGCAGAATGAAGAGCCAAACAACCAATATTGCCCAACTAGGATGAGAAGGAAAATCGGTTTAGGTGGTGTTCCGGGATATTAATGAGGAGCAGAGGGTGTGGATTGTACGAGATGAGTGGATTATGTGATTCCGCTAAATGCCGTCATGCCATTAGACTAAATTGTGTCCTACACTACAAACAAAGCCCAAGAAGGGTGGACAACAGAGCTAAGCAGCAAGTGAGACTACTCGTTTAGTGCGTGAGACGGAATACATGTTTTTATAGCAGATTGTTGCTTTCCTTCCGAGGAAATCGGAGCTTTTCACGTCGTCTTCGTCTTCGTCAATCTGTCTCTTTCTCGCCTTTCTCACTGTCAGGATGACTGTCAACACGCATTACTGTGGAGGAGAGATGGAGGGGAAGGCGAGACCAAGGAGGACGAGGAAAGATGAGACAGACCATTCATTATGGAGTATCCACTAATATTAAGTTTCACCGTGAATTAAATAAGCTCATATTTTGTTTATCATCGACCATCAACACTCATTCCATAGCGAATCCAAGAATTGAGATGGATGCGAATGCAATGTAACAGGGGCAGCGGTTGGAGTGGAGAAAGAAAGACCCTGACCGACAATGGACGTGGATTGGATTATACGCACTCCATTATTTTCTCCTCGTTCCGTGACGATGTGACAATGATTCGGTTCGATGTGAATGTGAGCGGAGGATATGCGTGAACAATTGGCATAATTGCATTAAAAAATGCAGACTGATGACAACCACTAAATGCATGAAATACTGTATTTTGTAGAGTTGGGAAATTCGTAAACAAATTTTCAACAATTAAAACCTCCATGTGATACTTACGAATGGAGGAATGCAGTCCCAACAGAAGACACAGAAGCAGAACGTTGTTGATCATTTTGGTAAATGAGCAAGCTATTTGACTCCCTGCGTGGCACCGGGATTTGCATACGTTTTTTTGTTACCCAATTCAACACACCGCACTTTCACTTTTGCTAATGCACAAAACAATTAGTTGAGGACAGATCGTCGTTCTTGCCTAATTCCAGTTTTTAGCGCCCGCATGACGATAACTTTACTCCTTTCACGCCAAGCCAGAATATTGGTGCGTTTTATGCGGTACTACACGGGAACGAACTCAACCTCACTCTACCCGGGTTGTCAACGCACTGAGCTCGCTCCCTCGAATCTCCGCACCCGGATAAAGTCTGATACTTTTTTCAGGGATTTGAAGTTCAAGAGCAAACTAACCGAAGGAGCAAACTAACCATAAAGCTACCAAGCTTGTTGTGCGAGGATTTCGTCCTCTCCATAATTCCTGGATTTGCTTGGCTTCAACTCAGCTCAGGTTCCTAAAAGTGTGAGCTTTTTGATGGGTGTCGCATCGGATCACATTTTCCTGATTCATTTCCATCTCGTCGTCTCAAATTTCATGAGCAAAACCAAAACTGAATAACTTGGCACGAGCTGTTGTTGCATGAATCCCATTAAACTCTTAGTTGATGCTCTACGGAAAATTGTCAAGAATTATTTTCCGCTAAACTGTAAACATCGCATATCATCAGCATCACTTGGAGGAGCGGATGCAAAACAACGCTTCTCCGGCACTGCTAATGTTTACGAGCTGACTGAGGATGAGCTGTGCAATAGTGAAGTTCGTGAGTTGTGGAGCTGTCTTTTTTCGCCCTTTCTTGTCCTCGCCGTATAATAAAAATTCATGAGAATTATACGCTCTCCATTTTGACTGGGAACATTCCCTTCTTATTCGCTTCCCGTGTTCTTCTTATCCTCCTACGACCCATCATGTTTATGAAATGATGATGAAATGGTTGAGTGGCTGTCTGGGAGCTGTTCACTTTAATTCTAAGCCGTCCCCAGAGACGTGCGGTTCACTCATTTCTAAAAATTTCAATTTCCTCCCTGCCCCCTCTTTTACGGAGCATGATGCCAACAACTTTCACCCTGCCTGCGTAAACACTTGTATACTTTTCTCTCCGACCAAAATTCCAGAGCAAACAGAGAAGGAAAAAGAATGTGAGAAAGGTAAACAAAGACGTGGAGGTGGTGGTGATGTGGAGGCGATGGATGGATGCGGGGGACAGCGGTGGGAGAAAGCTGTTCAAGATTCGATTGAAGCCCAATCATGTGGAAGGAAGGAAGGCATGGAACTGAACGGGCTGGGTGAATGGGGCTGCCATGATCCCGATTTTATTTCATATAGTGTTTCATAGTGGAGCGGGGGAGGGTAGGAAGCCTCATATCCGGGTCTTAATGTGAGGATTTGTTCAAGGAGGGAGGAGGACAAAAAGGGAGAGGAGAGGGTGGCAAAGAAGAAGGGAACACTTTTCCATTTTTCATCAACTTCTTATTTTCATATCGCTATTTTACATTACTTTGTCGACGGTATGTGAGTGAGTTGAACTCATGGGATGAGAGGAAGGAAGAAGTGTATTTCGATGGTCCGGTATTATTACATGACAGCATAATGTGAGTGCAACAGCATCATGCACGTCCCGAGGGACAATTTTACAAGTAATGCAATTTCCCAGTCATGCAGGGCAGATATATTCAATCCAAGCAAGAAGGTGGGCTTTATGGTGATTTGAATTGCTGGTGGCCATTCACTTTTGCATATTACATACACCGACTTGGCTGACTTTCCTGCCTATGGAGATGTTCCAAATGGAAGAACGAATGCATGGCGGTGGGGAAAGCAAAGTTGAAGCTACTCCTTCACTTTTATCACGTTTATTGCATCACAGAAGTAATTTCATTCATCGTGTACACTTTTATTTTTACTCCCCACCATTCCATCAGCTCGGTAAATGCGAGTATTATATATTTCAGTCTACGACATTGCTGTACTTATTACCTTTTTGTTCTGTTTCGTTTCTTTTGAGGTGCTTGAAGTTGCGTGTCCGTCGTTTCTTGATGAGATTCAGGAGATGGCTTCTTTGTCGCCGGCGTCTTCTTCTTCTCGAGGTCAGTCTTATTGTTCTTTTCAGTCTGGAGGTGGCGAAGTGTGGATGCAAACAGAACCTGCAATAACAATGCCTCATGTAGTACTTCTAAATAATACAATTGTGTGCAGATAGAGTTCGTTGAGTTTGCTTACCGAGTGTGCCCAGCCTGCGTAGGGGCCGTAGAGTTCTTTGAAGAATGTCGTAATCTCGCTGTACACCTTGTCGTTGAGAGTCTTGGCCTTGGTGAGATGTGGTAAGTAGGTCTTTGCGACTTGATGGATGTGCGTGTCGACGGGAATGGTGGCCGGAAATCCTAAGCTCATCAAACAAATGCAGTCTGCTACCTGCAAATACATACATAATCGTATATTTATAAACCTATTTAATTCGGTAGTCATTTCTGAGTCACCTTTCGACCCACGCCGGTCAGTGTCTGCAGCTGTGCCCTAGCATCTTCATAGTCTTTCCCCCTCAAACCTTCCACCCAGGACACCCCTCCGGAATCGACGATTTTTTGCGCTGTGGCTGAAATGTAGCCAGCCCGATAACCGAACGCTTCAGAGCGTAGTTTCGCCTCCACACCGACAAGAGCTTCCACTCGAGGAAAATTATAATATGTTCGGTCATCCCAAACTCCAATCACATCTCCGTAAAATCTTGCCAGCTTCTCAACCATGCTGGAGATTCGACCTATAAATAACGAGATAAATTTGTGTACCAGCTAGCTAATTATATTCACTTTATTACATACCAATATGGTTGTTGGAAGAGCAGATAAAGGCAAAAATAGTTTCAATCGGGTCTTGAGCCAAAATTCGAATTCCGCCCCACTCGTCACCCAACCCTGCAAACTTGGGATCCTTTTTCGCCCAGGTGGCGTAGAGGGGAGGGAGCGAGACGTCAAGTTGGAAGTAGCGCCTGAGACATGGCTCGACATCATCGTCCTCACCATCGCCACTTTTGGGGAGCAAAACACGGTAGTGGAGGTGCGTGGGGGTTTGTTTCAGTCCCCAGAGACGACCAGCAAACACACCCAAATGCTCGTCTCCCTCCACTCTCCATCTGCAAAGGAGACGCAGGAAAAATTAAGCACAATGAAGTCAAGAAGTGTTTCTAAATCAAAATGAAAATGTTAATACCGAAAGCTTTGCCCGCACATGAGCACCTTCGCAATGTCCAGTTCTGCCAGTGACAGCGCCAACGATCCCGACAGCCCCATTTCGAATAGAGTTCGCTCCCCTCGAATGCTGCCGTTTCTTCTCTGACTTTTACAACCGAATTTAGTAATGTTTATTTACGTACTATAGGAAACTCTGAGCATTCTTCAGTGAACAATAAATGACTCGATCAACTTGTGAGCTTTTATTCCCGGTTATTTTATTGGTTTGACAATCACAACCAGTCTCTCTGTTTACCCACGCACGCTATGAAACTATCAGTGGATATTTATATGATTCTAATGCACAAAGAATGAACATAAAACTGTACTTTATTGACCCCTCTTGTTCGTCTAAGCTCAATTAAATTGAAATCGTATACTGGTACATTAATTAAATTAAAGAGCTACTACTTTCTACTAAGAACGATCTTGTGTATCGCCAACGTGGCGCCCCAATAAGCAAAGAGCTGTTGAATGAGAAAACAAATTAAGGCTTCTGAATTTCACAAACCAGCCACTAACATTTGCTAATGAGGAAGAGAGTTTACCCAGATTATGGAAGCTGCAAATCCTGGCCATACTCGAATATGTGTCAGTCCCCACCCGCGACTCAGAATTGAGCGCACCGTTTCGCCCGGAAATGTGGCAGGGAGTACGTATGTCATGTATTGCATCCAGTAAGGCATACCCTCAATCGGCCATAGCAGTCCTGTCACAATTACACGTCATTTATTCGCGCATCAGAAGTGTTACCATTTTTGGCATGACAAGTTTTAGCAAGATATTGCGAGCGGCGTCATATAATGAAAATTAGTTAATTGCTACTTGGTTTGTTTAGGGATTTTGCAAAGAACACGTGATCGACTTAAGGGGGGGTCATCTTATCCTTCCGGTGTTAAATATAACATGGGGTACATAGGTCACACCAGGGGGATTGGGGGTCAAAATTACCAGAAAGGAGAAAGTTGGGGAAGAAAGAGGCCATGGCGAGGAGGACAGCTTCCACTTCCTCCGTGCAAATGGATGCGAGAAGAAATCCGGCCGACACGCCGCCCAGACCCATCAGAAAATACCTAGGTCACAGTTCTCATTAAAATCAAAGGTGGATTATTGTGCTGAAATACTTGTTTCATACTGAAGGACGAGAAGTGGGAGGGAGCCTCGGACTTGGAAGCCAAACAGGACGATGATGATGGCCAGGGACAGGGCGAGCTGAACGATGAGGACCACACCGTCGGTGACAAAGTAGGAAATCATGATTTCTGAAGTGCTAACGCCAGCCACTCGAGCCCTTAAAAGTGTGCCTTGCTTCCTGTCGTACACGAACTGGACGGACGAGGAGCAGAGGGGGAAGAAGAAAAGGAAGCTGCAATACAAGTCAAATTGTTGGTTTGCCTAGCTTCTTCATAAAAGATGTTACTTTGCATACCCAACGAGAAGACTTGGCGCAATAAATTCTCGAAGGTCGGTGTCGTCCGATCCGTAAATAGGTTCCAACGCCTGTAAAATAAGCACACGGAATGAAAATGAAGGAATTTAGATCTTGGACGGAATAACGTCAAGTTTACATATTCGAGAAAAATACCAGAGACCGTAACGTACCCTGACCGGCCTGTCTCCCAATTTCTCGTTTATCCCGCAGTTCTTGAGCATAATTTTTATGAACTCTTCGAAAGAGTCACCAAGCGTCTTCTTTATGAATCCGGTCACCATTTTACCTACAGAAAAAAGGGTAAAGGTCGTGCAGTGCAGTGAGAGCGACAAGCTACATAAATAATTTTTTCTAGCATTTCATTCAGTTCAACAACTAATTACTCGTCATGTCCAACTGATACGTGATAAATGAGCCATCCAACGCCTCCTCGTCCACCCGGTTGCCAGTCGCCGTTCTCGCATACACGTGGTCAGAGTATCCCTCCGGAATGGAAATGTATCCCCAAATTACCCCCGCTTTCACTCCTTTCGTCGCTTCGGATTCAGAAACGTACTCTTTCTACACGCACACAATAAAAATCCCTTACTCAGAAAATCACTATCAATATCAAGACTTCAAAAGTGAGACAATTCCAATGCATATATAGTAAATACCAAAATGACATCATCCGGTATTCTGGCGAGAAATTTGCAGCTCAGGAAGTCCAAGTCGCAGCCTTCTTCGAGGTCGACTTCCTCCTCCCCACTCCCATTTCCGCTCCCACTCCCAAAGTCCGCCTCCCTCCAAGTCGCGTACTCCAGACAGTTGGAGAAGTTTGACTCGTGATTGACGACGCCCAAGGTGAGGGGGCGTGGCTCGTTGCCAATCCCATTGCAGATGAGGAGCACCATGAAGCTGGGCGTCATGATCATGAAGAGGACAAGGAAGATGTTCCGCCACATGACGAAAATATTTTTCAGAATGAGCCCTCGAATTCGAACCAGGGATCTAAGATAGCCTTGTTTCCGTTCCACTTCAACGTTGTTGTAGACGGAGGAGCGTCGCGACCAAGCTTCTGAGCCTCGTCGGGACGACGGTTTTTCCTTCGTGGAAGAGTTGTCGTCCTCCTCCGCGATCGGTTCAGGCTTTTTCTCCAGAGCTTTGTAGTGCCCGTTACCGTTCGGGAGTGACTTTTCCTTTCCGGACGGAACCTCCTCGTCGCTTCGGCACAACCGGAGCACGACGTCTTCCAAGAGAGTGGCGTTGTAATGGGCGAGCAGTGTGTCGGGATCGTTCTCTGCGAGGAGACGCCCCCCTCGCATGATCCCAATCATGTTAGAGTGCCTAAGCAAGTAGTGGCAATGAGAAGAATGCCATGTTTCGAGCACGGATATTTAGATAGTTACCGGGCTTCCTCAATATAATGCGTCGTGATTATCACGCTGGTTCCCTGCTCCTTCACCAACCAGGTCAAATGCTCCCATATTTTCTCACGCAATAAGGCGTCAACGCCAACGGTGGGCTCACTACAATTACATTCGTCTAATAATTCTAACTTTCTAATTGGATATGTTAGATGCACTTTTCATACTCAAGAATGACGAGTTCGGGCGAATGGATGAGAGCAACGGCGAGGGAAACACGGCGCTGTTGACCAGAAGACAGATCTTGGACGCGTCGACTCTCATCATGGAGGTCGAGGAAGGACATGATATATTCACGAGCTGATATGACGCAGGAAGTAAAAAACAGTATTAAGAGTTGCATCATCCTTCCACAATAGCAAAATACCTTCTCTCATCTCCGAGTTACTCATGCCAAACAAGGCGGCGTAGTAGCGAAGCGTTTCGTCAATGGTGAACTGGTGGTGGAGAGCGATCTCCTGTGGTTCAAAAATTCAGTGTCAACTTGTTCAAATGAATATTTCAGTGACTATTAGAGCTTGCCTGCGGCATATAGCCCACGCGAATTCCCGGCACCTCGCTTCCATCGCTACCAGGATGCTTGCCAAAAACAGAAATCGTCCCCTTATCCAGATTTCGCATGCCCAAAATGCAGGTGAGCGCTGTGGTCTTACCGCACCCTGAGCTGCCCAGGAGGCTGTATCTGCAAATACAAATGGCATTAAATTGGTGACCACTTACATATTTTGCGAAAAGTACTGCTTACATGGTTCCCTTTTCCATCGTCATTGCAAAATTATTCAGAACGAAGGGTCCACTCCGTCCATACCGTTTGTAGGCCCCTCGAACTCGCACAACGCCTCCGGAGACTGGAATGGCTCGAAAGTTGCCAGTTTTTTCACTCGGAGGACAAAACTTTTCCGACGCCTGCGAACTCTTCTCACTGAGCAGGCTTTCTCTCCGAGCATATTTTACGACGGGAGACTCCTCGTCGAAGGCCACGTTCACCCGGGCGTAAGAAACGAGCCGAGTGGGACCGTTGTGCCCCGCAGCTCTAAAAAATCGTTAAACATCTTTTATCCAACCTCATGAGAATTTCGTATGAAATTGAATTATCGAAATTTGAGTGATTTACTGTTCATCTGGTATAACGTCCATTAAAATATTTTTGACTCCTTTTCGAACCCTTTACTATAAAAAAGTTGCTGTATGTTCTTCTGGTGACCTCTTCTCCATGAACATGCAACGCCTGAGTAAAGAGATGCCTGTTGGTGCACGAGTAGTTCAACGCTGGTCAACCGTGTAGGTATTCATTCCTTGGTGAGAACATGTATTACAACAACCTGACCAGGCGAGAACAGATATCTTGCTACATTCATTTTCCATGAAAATTTCCATGCATGGATTTGGTAAGGAAAACCAGTTTCGTTTTCGTTATATATCATGAAAAACTCGAGGCTGTGCCTATTATTACTTATTGGACACACCGTTTAGACATGAGGAGGAACTCGTAACAAAGACACGGAGATCTTGTACATAATTATATTTTGTCGGCAATTTATTCTTCCTAATCACGAATGGACTAAAATTGGGAGCAACACAGGTAAATATGTACACATGCATCCTGCACTGAATCGGCTTGCATTTGTACGTATGAACGTACGTTGCGTTGTGTGTAGAGGATAGTTTTTGTCTATTTCTCACCAAATTTATAGGTATTTTCATGCATATAATAATAAACTTGTGAATGTGTGGTCGGTCTCAAGGAGTAAAGACGCCTTTCTGAGCTTGTGGGAAACTTTCTCAGCCAAATTTCTTAATGATTTTGTCATGTTTCGTTTATTTTTTATATTTGCGTGTAGTTTAGTGACTAATATCGTATGTCATTAGCAGTTTTGGGATAGCAAGTCCATTTTCATAGAGTGAGAAGCGAGTGCAGTTTTTTAATCGAGGTAGTCCACTTGGCAAAACTTGAACTCATACATGGATAACTATACATGTAGGCACAACTAATAAGTAAGCCTATGTATTTATATTGCGAAAATGTGATCAAGCATATTGTTTGACACGATACAAGATGTAAGAAATGGAAGAAAAAGTGGTTTTGGCAATAAAAATGGTTGTTATCCTCCAGATCCAAAAAAACACTGGGCATACACATGTACATTCGGGCACTGCCTGCAACACTTTATGTAACCATTTTGAGATGAGATCAGACTACGTGGTAAGTATTTTAATGGCTGTGAATTTTACTTATATAACAAAACTTTGCACTATTCTTGGCCCTGTTGTCTGCTTCCAAGCCTGCATATGTACGTGCCGTCTGGCTGGATGAGACTTAAAAATGCTTCGATAATGTCACTGGGAGCAGGAATTTGTCCACCTTGTCTTTTCTCTGGCATTGTAAATTATAATTGCATCACGTGCCTCAAAGCACAACATTGTACACCCAGTTTATATATTATATAAACTATATGCAAACTATATAAGCTATAAACTATATAAACTATAATCATATGCATATTAATGCATGTGATTATTAGTGCATATACCCAATGCACTTTTTAGGCGGTGATTGTTGAGTTTCAGGTTATAATTTTTATCCCAATTTCATCCATCGATTTGTACCTGCATTACCATTATTACTCTGGAACACAAAATGATGCGCACCAGAGGCAGATTAAGTGAGGAATGCCAAAAAAATGCAACGTGTGTACCTTAAACAACTCGGTTTGAATCAATGATTTTTATAATTATAGCTGGAATTATGCAATTCTTGGTGTACAACATTATGGTAAGAGTAAAGGCTTCATTAGTTCGAATGGTTAGTCACTGCGTTGCATATACTATTGACTATGTTACAAAAATATTGGTAGTTGGACTAGAAATGGTTTGGTGGTGTTTATTATCGAGAGAAATATTATTCGTTTGATGCCCGTTCAGCCCGTTCCCTGCTCCCGTCCCGTTTCCCCTTCGAGGGGGACGGTCCCCCTTCTTTCGATGAGCTCTCTTCCCCCCCACCACGCCCCTCACCGCCCTTCCCCTTCCGACTCGGCGATGGGTCGGGTCTCCTGGGTGGCTCCAGTTCCTCCTCCGACACCCCCTCGTCACCCTCCACCTCACTCTTCGTGGGCGTGGTCACGGGCTCCTCGTCCGACGCGGGGGCTGCTGGCTGTGCCACTGCCTTCCTTCCGCCACCACCTTCGCCCTTCTTCTCACCGCGACTCTTGCTCCGAGTTGGGCTCCGGCTGGGGCTCCGTTCTCCTCCCCCGCCACGTCGGTCCTTGGAGTGATGACCTCCTTTTCGGGAGGGTGACTTGGACTTGCTTCCACCCGGCGGGGCTGGAGTATGCGTCTCACTGCAATTTCATGTAATTTATATAGGTCACAAACGGATAGAGTGCATGTGACTTGGATGAAAGCACGTACAGCCATCTGAAGTATCCGGGTGGGTAGAGGGGGCTCACCATCCCCGACGAGTCCAACACTCCGCCAAGCTTTAAGCGCTCGATGGAAGCGTTTGCATGTTTGAGATCGGCTTTGTAGACTCGACGCATTTCGTCAAAATGGTGAAACTCCTGCGGAAATTTATTAAGACGAGTCAATCATTAGTGGAAATATTTATCGTATAAAGTAATAAACAGCATATAGTAATAATCTGCATACCTTTGACTCCTTGTCCAACTTCCATTCCGTGTCTCTCAAAGTGCTGTAAAAATCGTTCCTCATCCGCTCCAAGTGCTTCACGAGGCGGAGTAACTCGGCCTGCACACAATTTATTCGAATGGTCAAAACGATGAGTATTCGATTAAATAAAGGTTAAGCTAGCACCTCCGTGAGAGCGTCCAAATTAAAGTTCATGGCTTCTGGATACGAGCCTGTCGTCAATTTCCGCCTAGCTTCAGCCAATTCCGTCTCGAGCCAATCCTTTTGCTCGCTGAGCTGCTTGTTAAGAGCAGTTTGTGACTCGAATCTCACCTTCCACTCGTTGTCGTCGACTAAGAAATGCATTCAATTATTAATTAAAAATGTATTAAATTCACCGTGTTTCAAGAAATCAGGGAAATTGAGATTTCAATCACACTTGGCGAAAATGGCGAATTATGAGTCAAAAAACTCGAGCGGACAAGATCGAGCCGTGGATCGGGATCACCTAGCAATATTTTAAAGCCAGGTGGCTCGGAACTTGGATCGAGTTTATTTAGAGCCAGGTGGACCGCTTCACGATTTTTTAGAGTCGCGTGGATCGGCTCGCCAAACAAACGTTACAAGTGTGATTTCAATTGAATCAATTTTTTGGCAAGATGCTAATGGTACGCACTTCCTTTCTGGCCTTCATCCAATTCCCGAACGTACTGCTCCAACTCCGCCACTGACCGCTCCATCTCGCCGTTCGACCATTCCAAGGACTCTCTGCGAGCATACTTGGGTCAGAATTTGGGGTGCAATTGACAAATTAGTACTACGGATGATTCTAACATGATCCTAAGTATGGGATCATGTGCATTTACGTACCTGATTCGGTCCTCTTGATCTAACTCCGCTCGGAGGAGATCGAGTTCGTCATACCTGGGATGATACTGCATCTTCTCGAGGTCATACCGTATGCTGGGGTGATACTGCATCCTGACGATGCAACCGCTGAGTTAGTCGCTTGGCCGAGGAAAAAGGTGAGATCCGCCGATGACGAAGGTAGAACTGGGATTGGAGTGGACCAAGAAAGGAATCTGATTTTCATTCAACACTTGTCCTCGACCCCGCTTGGATTTATTCTTATTGCGCAAGATGAAACACTTCAACTCTCAAAACTAGCACATAGCTAAGCTTATTCGGTTTAGGTTTTGTGGGGTCTGCTGCTCTTGCTTCCACTTCTTACTCTTCTTATCAATGGAGGTCATCTAGTTCAAGTGGCCTAAATTGAAGAGGGAAACAATGGGTCGACCCCATCCGGCCTAGTTTCTCAAACACCACCAGCAACAGCAGCAACAAAACACGGAATTCACGGGCAGGGCATTATATGTATACGTACATATTTGCATCCGTACCTTATGTACATACGTGCATGCCTACATCATACGCAGGCATTCCACCAGACCACCAAAAAAGAAAGGCATAGAAAATGAGCAAGAGATTTAGCAGCAAGAGGCGAGGAAATAATGAAGCGTTCTTTGTCGTTGGCTTGAAAAAGGGGGAATCGATCCACAAGGAAATCGAGCGTTTGCATGCTAACCAGATTTAAAAAATGAACGACACACCAACAACACCACCGTTTTAACCGTACATGAAGCATATTAAGGCGGAGAGAGCAATATGCAAGGACCGGGGAAAGCATTCTTCTCCGCTTCGTATTGTACGAGCCTACGCGTACTTTGCTCCTTTATGGCATAGTTGACAGTCCTAATTTCCTTCCTTTTCTGCTGCATAGCTTCGATACAGGGAAATGTATACATCTCATGGTCGTCGATGTGTGTGCGGCTGATTAATTGGTCATACGGGCCCATTTCCACCACTACCAAGGGAGAAAGTACAAAGAACGACTTTCTTTTTTTCACATACACACGCAGACATTCCACCAGTTTGCTTTCCTCTTTTCCATTCACAATTCCAGGCTGCTGGTTGGATATTAGCGGAATGGGTTGGCACTAGTATTTGGGGTCAGTGCTGACCTTGTGACGTGAGTCAGCCAACAAACAACAAAGGATTCTCAGAAGGAGCAGGTGATTAGGGTCAAGAATTGAGTGATTTGTACCGCCCCATTTATTGAGAACATTGGAGCGGAACCAATTTATTCGCACATCGTCATCGTCATCATCACAAAATGAAAGAATTAAAGGAAGCAATTGGGTACAAGGAACATTTCCAACTCCAGTTAAAATGGAATATTTACGTCTTCAATTTGTATGCGGACGCGACGATGTTGCTGCTGCTGCTTTGGTTGGGTGGCGGACAATGATGGTTTAGTCGTCGTCGTCGTTGGCTGGATGGGGACAGGTGACGACTCTGGTCCCCCCGAGAGTTCTTCCACGAATGAAGGCCGACCAACTTCCCACGGGGATCGTGATGACGACGAAGAGTGGGCGATTATGTTTGCAGTCACATTAGTGTCAAATTTAGCAGCAGTCTGTACTTTGTCAGTCTCATTTCGCATCAGCTTCTCCACATTTTTCTGCTGCAGTTGGATTTTTGGTTTGCTCACTTTCTCCCATTCTGCAACTTGCATGTCTGTCACTTCCATCCGTGCCAATTCTTCGTCCACGTCAAACTTGTCCCATTTCTCATATTCCCAGGATTTTATGCGTTGGGAATTCCTCTGACACTTAAATTATCATGACTCGTTCAAATAAGTATTACAATATTTTTAAAGGGAATTTTACACCTGCGACTTTGTGGTCTCCGCACTGCTGGTGTTGCTTTCATGACTGATCTTGTTGGCGGATGCTTCTTGCCTATCCTGCCCTCGAATGGGGATAGTTTGACCATCACCTTGACCAAAGTACGAGCCAAGACCTTCGTCCTGAAATATGCTCTTTGGGACAGGATTCCTCGCTGATTTTGACGCCGTGGACATTGTGTGGACCCACTCCTGCAAATATATTGCCTCCTCAGCACAACACTACATAGTTCTGCCCAGAATGAATGATGGATTTTTTACAGAAATGTCGCTGAGAATGTGTTCTCTTTCCTCCTTATCCAAATCTGCGGGGTAAAGGACAGGAATGTCGACACGGAGGAGATGGTTCCCCGGATCCAACGTCTTAATGCGTTCCTCCACACAGGAAATCAGTTGTGGGAAATAACCTTCCTCACCAGATCTGAAATTTCAAATAAAACAAATGCGGTAATTTTAGTGGCGAATACATAATATGAAAATTGAGTAGAGCAGAAAAAGTACCTTAAGATCTTCAAGATTTTCTCCAGTTCTCGAACATCGGTGCATTTTTGAACATAGGCAAAGTCCAAGTGTTCCAAAGGGATGTCGAACTTCTTGCGCAAAGATATCTTTTTTGGAACTCTAGTATCTTCATTGTTGCACTCGCTCCCGTTTGGATCAACCTTCTCCAGCATTTTTTGAAGGTACAATTAAACTGAACGAGTTAACAGTCACAGCTTTACTAGCGGTAGAGATGAATAAATTAAAAAAGTCCAATCATTCATACCCACCTTTTATTGATCAAGCGGACTGCATATCACTCGATTTGCCGGTATTCTCAAATGGTTCAACCACGTTGTCAATGGTACCAAAGATGCCGTGAGCTTTGTCGAGTATTTTTTTCTCTCCCTACCCGAAGGAAAAAGGCAAGAGTGATGAAGTCTCAAGATCCCATTCGACCATGTTCATATCAAAAGCACGTCGTGGCGTTCACCAAAGACAACGACCAAGTTTGAGACTCTCTACGTTGAAGTACAGCAAAGACCCAGCATTTTAAAGATGCCAAAGAACCCACAGAAGAAAATTGCATTTCTTAACGACCCCTCCCACTTTGGTTACGTTCCACTCAGGAGAAAAGTGCTGGACAACAACGACTACACTTTTACGATACCGAGGGAAAGGAGGAAGACTGTCACATGGGAAGATCAGCAACATAATATCAGAAGTGATCATCAGAAGCAGATAATCAAGGATGAGACCGTATTGGATGAAGGAGCAGATCTCGCAGGTCTTCCATCGCCACGTCTCGTTCTTGGGCTTTATGACGAGGACGACGACTTTCTGAGTGAGGTGAAAGAGATTCAAGGAATCCTGCACAATCCGGAGCTATCAATTTCACAAAAGTACAAAAGCCTGGGGCTGAACGAAAAGGAAGTTGTCGGAGGAAAAAGTGACGAGGACGACGACGATGCGGGGAGTTGCTCTTGCTGGGTCAAGTTTTGGTACAAGATTGGAAAAATGTATGGGGCGCAGTGGCCCTTGGTTAGAAAGCCCAATAGATGACATCCAGATACAAAATAAATATTTTGATTGCGTTGTAATTTCCTATACATGTCATTTATTCATTACCCTTTTGTATATTTTTTCATAACTGAAACAATTAGTGTTGCAAAAAGTTTCATCGACAAATGGGAAAGTAGGTTGACGATACCACATCTAACTTGCATTATTATCACAACAATAGTAGAAAGATAAATAGAGGTACTTCTTGTTCTTTGCTGACAAGTAGTGGAAGAATTCATAGAATTAAAATACTTTCAACGATGCATCAAAAATGGGTCAGCGGGATTAATTTCTTGATCTTCATTACGCTTTTGATGGACTAGACGCACGTTACATTTCGACCACGAGTGAATGAGCCATTAGGTCGTATAGCGTCCTCGAATTGTCGAAATGGAACAGGGTGAAGCACAAAGGAAAGAAGAAGGCGAGACTAAAATTTTTGAGACACGAGCGAAGCAATGCGCGTGGAAATGTGAGATATGACCCAGGTCGGACAATTACGCTCGGACCAGATAAGTCCCACCCAAAAGGAAGTTGTTGATTGTTGTTGTTAACGTTGACATTGTTCCTCTGCGGCGAGAATGGAAGAATATCCACGGCATGGACGACACGAAGTCCGAGCATCGTCTTCCCAGGAGTACCTCCAGCCTTCCACAAACAGTAGGCCTAAACAGGATCAAATAAAATTTAGTATAATTAACTATTGTCCGCTCTTCTGGGTAAAAGAGTTCATGAGTTTACCTCAAAGAAGCAGACCACAATTCGATGTGTCAGCTCAAGCAGGAGAAGTTCCGAGGTCAGTGAGAGTGCAATGTCATACAATCCTTGAAGTTGGGCGTCGGTTTGACCTGCATCAGCTCCGTTGGCGGCCGTACCACCTTCTCCACGCAAAGCATCCAAGTCAATGTTGTCCAAATCACTGAGAAATACAAAAGTGAGTCTGTGGACTTCCCACGAAGTAATTGGTATATTTTAACTAATCCAACTCACATTAGTTCGAATGTATCAATTACGGTAAAAGTTATGAAGAGTTTGACAACGAGAAGGAACAAAAAATCGATAACTTCTGCCAAAAACCGTTTCCATACGGGCGCCAGTTTGACGACAACAGCCGTGGATACTGTCGTCGTAGTTGTGGTGCCAGGAGGAACAGCTCCAGCTCGTGGAGCAATCCCTGCTGCTGCCATGAACATGAGGAGAGGTTGACGCTGGGCACGAGGTATATCTATATTTACAAACGTAGAGAAAGTAATTGTCAGCCACAAGAAAAACTGAGAATTGTTTGTTTTAGAGGATAATATAATTAGGTTAAGGTGCTAAACTAACTGTTAAGAATGATTCTTTGCTGGCCTGCTTGCTGTTGTTGTGCAGCAGCATTTTGCAAGTTGATATTGTTGAATTGCGGAGGAAGATTATTAGGATTGTTGGGGTCCGGAACACCAATACCATATCCGTAAATGTTGTTGTTGTTGTTGTAAAAGTAAGGGTTTTGTGAGTTGCTGAGTGCCGTAAAGTAAGCAGATGTGGCAAGAGAACGTTGATGATAAGCCTGTCGAGAAATAAATCATTGCATTACTTCGGAACTAGGTCACGCGGTTACATAAGTGAACTTACCTGCCACAACCAAGTTTCCAGCTTTTTGCAGTAATCATTCATCGTCTCTGGTTTTCCGTCCTTTCTCTCATCGTCCGCTGGGGATGATGGGGTCGGAAACATGATGAATCAATTACTAAAAGTATGGAAATTATAAATTTAGCTTATTTGTGCAGTACAACTTGTTGAAGGAGTAGAAGCAATTTGTCAACAATGTACGACTTACCTGTGGCCGTATGGGAATCCAATAATGTGGAAATTATTGTATTTAATTAGTCTAAAATTTCACGAGAAATTAAATGGAAAGCGAAAGAACGAGTTTAATTAATGTCGATTGTTTTGGTTTGTGACGTGTTGGAGAGAGAATCCAGACTGCCGCTCACATCTCCAGCAGCCCCACAACGGTCCTCTCCTCATTCCATGCAGTATCATGTAATTACTAATTAAATAATTATTAATTAATTAGCCATACTCCTCGTTTAAATAAATTGAGAATTATCCCAAAATTTGTAAGCTGATCTGCCCCTCCCTAAACTGGTCGTAATAGTCCTGGATGGTGTAGAGGAGGCAGAAAATGGGTGTCAGCAGAAAGTGCGTCCTCGTGCAAAGGGCTGCCATGCAAAATTATCGTATGTGCATGTATGTAAAATACTTTGATTTGAAAATACAAAATTTAATTCATCTCTAATCCTGGATTTGAGAATCATTCTATCTTTTGCATTGTAATTTCAGTAGAAATAAAACTTACTTTTTACGATTTCACGATGGTCAAGATTTGAGAACAGGAGTTTTGGGCGAGACGGTGTCAAAGAATAATCTTCTGGATCAAAATCATAACGTGGGTTCATGCCACCCACAAAATTCAGGAAAATAACGAGAAAAACTAGGCGTATGCTTATCGATAGCCACATTTTGTGCCAAGAAACACTGCATGACATAGGATAAGCATGCACAACTAGTACCTACTTATTGTCTGGTGCCCAAATTATTTATACGTGAATGGGAACTGCTTTAATTTACTAAACAGAGTCATGCATAATCAGACAAATCGTAAAACGGAAATTAATTAAAAACCATAAACCAGTTGCAGAGCTTGAAGTGTTGGAAGACGTATTATAACTACGTCCGACGGTCCGAGGTCTAGATTCCATTCACCATAAACTCTTAGACTCGAATGCTGAGATTTAATAAGTGGGACACGTGAGGTTAAGCCTCATAAAATCATCAGTCTCATGAAGTTTAATTAGTCTCAATTTCAAAAAGTCCATCACTGCTTCGCATCGCGTTGGATTGCATCCATGCTCCCTCGGACCCTAAAGTTTTTCGAATGTCAAATATATGCAAGTAATTCAAATCCTTTAAATAAATTCACAACGAAACTCATCACATTTTATTTGGGTTTCTTTTAAATAATTCATCATCATAATCATCACTTTTACACTTTATGGCTTCAGGGGTGGTTGGGTTTTGTGTCGTGGGTGGGACCTTGGCTGGGTGTACCGTACGAGGAATAATAACGATTCCTGTAAATGAATTAAATGACTAGCTCTTTCTTGTTGTAAATAGATTCATGTAAACACGGACACATCTTTTGTAGTCTGTGCTTTCTCTTGTTTTTTTGCACTATTTTTGATTTGACACGCTACAGACTAACCAATTTGTAAAACATAATAACATTTTAAGTATTAATTCACCCACTTTTCTGCTGACTATCCACGTAAACACACTGACTGGTAGACTGAACTAGTGACTAGACTCACATTTAAGTAATTTTGAATCCATATTTACATTTTGCCCAAGCTAAGTATTAAGTTTAATTAATGAGCTCTGTTTCTGTTGCTGCTCTGAGAGAAAATTTGGGGTTTTTGTCGAGGAAGGAGAAAGTGGGTGTGTGGTAGAAAATGAATATAATTAGTTTTCATATGACGACGGTGTTTCTGATTTAATAAATCTAGACAAGTTGGTTATCAAGATATATACAGTTACATATGTATGCACTTATCAGTATAAGTTAGTCATGCTCTGATTATATGTAGCTTAATAATTGTGTAATAAAGGTTCTGAATAGTATTTATATTATTATGCGACTGATTATGCAGCTTGATGGACGAGACGCAGAGACGACGATAAGAGAGGGTTGAGGAGAGGTTGGGGTTAACATGGTGTCGTCGTCGTCATCGTCTGGGAGGTGAATGCGTACTTGTGATGGGCGTGGCATAGGTTTGGTTTGGTCAATATTTGCTTATGGGATTGGCTCATTTTCTTCTTTTTGACTTTGCACTTTGTGATTTCCGTAAAACCGAGACTCTGATTCCAGTTGATCTTTGCAAACTAGAAGCAGAGGTCGAGGGTCAATATTGCGGATTGTTGGCGTTCGAGTCCACGTCGCTGAGCCAAGAGGCCGGCGAGGGTGGGTACTCTTGGTAAGAGTGGGGATGGTGTGGCACGTTCGGATGGGGACCAATGTCACCAGGTGGTCCTCCCACTGGGGAGGGGGACACTACCGGGTTCCCCACTTGGCTGCTCCCACCTGCACAAAAGCCACGCATTTCAGAGCATCATTTAACGGCAAGATGTGCGAGTTAAGTACTAACCAAGCGGCGGGTAGACTGGAATTCCGTCGGGTGTAAAGTGTGGAAAGTGATGGATGGAGCTGCCCCCACTGCTGCCCCCACCAGACTCGTGCCCTCCGGGATATGGGGACCCACCCGAGCCGACATAAGTCCCATGTTGACTCGGTGTTTGGGGTCGACTGAAAATAAGTCAAATTTTCACACAAATTTCCTAAAATGCATTACTTTCTGATTTTATTCAAATCGACAGATGCGATTGTGTGGTACCTCATTTCCGGCATGTCTACAAAACCGTCGTTGCTGCTTAAATCATCACCTGCAGGGAAAATGAGTAAAAGGACGCTTTAATTTGACAAACTTTAGTTGCGTATCATGTGTACATAAATCTGGAGTGTGTTCTAAGCGAGAATTAGACCGTAGAAGTCAACACTCCCTCCAGGAGGATGACAAAATGGGCAAGGAACGAGCGGAAGGGTCGCATTCGATGGGACGCATAAATATTTGTGGGCAGGTTGGAGAAGGAAGATGCACATGTTATCATTGGGCTGGAATATGAGGAGGTGGAAAGCACGTCATAAAATATGCAGGGCTTCACTCATAGCTCGCACTTTCTTATTCAGCAGAATGTGGCATTACTGTCCCATTATGAATAAACTTATCCCCTAAACAGGACACACGACATGATAATATACTCCCTGCTACGTGGGGATAAATTACTCGGGACAAATTCATGTCATGCAAATGTCCTCCTTCTTTCCCGTCTGAATGAAGAATGACTCTCGCCGCCTGCGTGCCAACGTGTCAAAACTTATCGAGAGAAAACTTTCAAATTCCCCAATTTTTTCACTTTCTTTTGTGGAATGCAAAAGAAAAGTCAACAACTCAATACGTATCAGAGGCGCATTTGCAATTGTCACGCAGAGGACGCCGAAATGAAAGCTCGCCCCCTTTGCACCCCTCCATCTTTTTTGCTCAGGGGGAATAATAATGAATTGCTTATCGGGGAATATTCTTCCACGCGGGAACAAATGATAAACGTCCGAGTGAGGTTTATTTTATGCAGAGCTAGATGGGAAGCACTTAACAAGTCCGTCCACCATCACCACAGCCGAGTCAATGCGAGAAAGCGTTTCCCATTCATGAGCCATGCATAAAAGCTAAATTGTTGGGAATTCAATTATTCCGAGAACAGCAGTGTACACTAAATGCCCGGATTATTTACACCAAGTCAGTCGGCTGGTGAGGATTCGGGGCTGGTGTTGATGATGAGAGCTACATGCACGTACGTGGTATATGGCAGTCATTATTTCTATAATATACTTGGTGGCAATAATAGTTTGGAAATAGAATCATGAAAGACACATCTCTTGGCGGCGGTATTATGTCCATAAGAAGACTGCATATTTTCTGGGTGGATGGAGGTATGTAAAACGGAGCAGCCCTTTCAACGACGCCATTCCCATTAATCTTTATGACTCGGATTTAAACATGCTCGTCACAAAGTTGGCCTGATTATGTTGAACAAAGTGTGAAGTGCATTCTTGTGTGTTCACTGTTTACCCTTCGTGCCTATTTTAGCAGCGCAGCCCCAATATTATGTAAGTTACACATGGGGAAAGTGCATGCACAGAAGAATGTAAATCCTGTGAATTGAGCTGACTGAGTGGTCTTACTGTGATTAAATCCGGATTCGGAGTCACTTTTATCACCCATGTCTTTCAGCAAGTCGCCCTTTCCATCCCCTCCTCGGGAGCCCTTCAACGAGCGGAAGTATTGACCCCAACGCGTCCTCCCCGCATCCTTCTTAAGTCTCTTCTCCTTCGCTCTCCTGAAAAGCCACACACACCAACGAGAAACATGGTTAAGAGCTCATTTGCATACATATTTAGCAGCACGAGTTTTTATGTGTCATTTTTATTCGCTGTAAGTCTATCGTCACGAGATGTCGAGTCAGACGAGGCCGAGAAGAGCGGCTATTGTTATGACGGGCTTTGGGTTTTAGTCCTTCTGTCACTTTTACCATTTGAATGAGCAAGTCGTGGTGTTTTGTCTGACGTCTACATTTTCTCATAGGCACCCAGCAGGAGCCATTCTCTCGCTCTCTCTCCTTTCCCCTCCGTCCACACTCCACGATGCTCTCCTGCCTGCATATCCAGAAGGCGAGAAGGAGGGAGAGAAAGGACGACGACGACGACGACGGAGGAGGAAAGCAAAGTCAAGTCGTTCGGAGTAAGGATAAATGTGGTAAGTAACCCCCTCGGTGAAAATGCCCGGATTCGGTCGACTTCCTCCCGCTGGTGGATCCCTGTCTTGCTCATGCAGTGAGAAAGGGAGACATATTGATGGCTCCTTCAATGTTACGGCGTCGATATCTGACGAATTATGGAGCACGTTCAATTCACCAGAGTCCGAGATATGCAAAGATCACACATGCAAAACAAGACCAGCCAGCGAAACAAAGGCCAGCACAAATGTGCATCTCAACAAGAAGGGAACGCGGAGAAGAGGAAAGCCAACTTTCACAAGTTGGCATTCAAACTTTTAGTCGTCACCTCACTCAGGCGAGATAGATGCTGCACAGGCCGAAACCCGCTTTAAACTTGGAAGGAGCAACTTTCCTCGTAAAACTTGTATTAGAATATTTCGCTGTAGTTTGGAAATGAAATGGTAAAAGTTGTGCTAGACGTCGTGTGGTAGATCTTGGACAATAAGAACTCAGATGTGCTTTTCAACAATTGGAATGAGAGAGATTCGAAACGAATGGGAATTTCGAGTGGAATTTTGTAATGGTGAAAGTAAATTTCGAATGGGAGTAATTTGTATAAGAGAAAGTTGATGGGATAACTGTTGGAGAAAGTTAAATAAACGACCCGATCGGACCGACCCCCAAGTTCCCTCAGTCTCAAGGCTTCCCATCCTTCAATTCACTGAACAAATAGATTTCCATCCATCCCGAAGAGAAGTTAATACGCTCTCGACAAATATTTGCATTTTTTTCAAGTGGAAGGACAATAAGTCTCAAAATTTCCCAAATTCCTCCATTTTTGAGCATATTTCTCTCTCACGCACGCACACTTGACAAAAGTCACAGCCAACTTTTACTCCCAGTTTTTGTTTTTTTACGGAAGGGAATGAAAAGTGCTGATTTCGGACGTTTGTAATTCGAAGGGAAAGTTCCGAGCTGGAGGACGACCAATTTCATGTTTCCAGTTGAGTAGCCCTTTAGCCATGTAGCCAACAAATAAACAAATAGAGCAGAAGTGGAGAAGGAGATGATATGGCTTTTCGAGTGAACCAATAAACCTTTATTGGGCATTGCTACAAACGTAGGCTCAGACTTCAGTACGGAACATACTGCTCTCACCAACCAGTTTAATGCTCTCTCCCTGTCTGCCTCGCATTGTTGTTGACTCGACAAACAATGGAGAAGAGTAAACAAACAATAGTGGTCGCTCTGCCGTTGTCTCACATAATGACCACGTCATCTCGAAAGTAACAAAACCCACGGTCTGGACAGTTGACTTTCACTCTGTCTGTGTACTGTCACTTAATTGGAATTAAAGGGCATGTGCTCGAGAATAAATTAAAGTCCTGAAGCATCATCAACAAATATCGTGTACTCATCCTCGCAGTTACATAAATCCCACATTGCCCCGAATAAAAACTAATATGGATGTCTTACTAGATAAGCTACTTTTGATAATGAGGGAACTCTGCGTAGCCCCTTTGTGCGTGCATATGTATTGATATAAATATTCTGCTGATCCAATCCAACATGGGATTTATTTACTAGGAAAATCTGGTGAACGAGGGGGATTATATTTTAAGGTCTCCCCATCAGAACCCGTGCAAATGCGGAGGATTCCCTGTCGACGTGAAGAAGTGCTTTACGGACACAAAACGGAGAAAGTCAGGGTCCTTAAATTCACGCGTACCAATGTGCTTCAATAATATGCGTCTCTGGTGCTGGTCATTCAATTCATAGCAATTCCAGAGTCCGTTGGATTGGATTGAACTGTACCGTATGCATACTTTACTAAGGATAAGCATTATGATGATGAGACGTCAATCCTTCAATTTCCCACTGAATGGAGTCGCGTATTCAATTCTGGATTAATCATGGCGGCGGTGAAAGCAAGAAGAACATGTCCTTTTATTATCTTCCATTCAATTCTACTGGCATACAAATCCGGATAATGTATGAAAAGATGTCGGACTTCTGGCCAGCAAAGTATGATTAAACCACACACATGACAAATATGTAGTTGGATGGATTGGACTTATTTCAGCGTTCAACCAGCACAACTACAACCCTGTCTGCAGACCAATTTCTGTACAAAAATGAGAAAAAAGGAAGGAAATCATCGAGACGAAAGACTACTACGCCTTCCCTCCAGCCGAGGCTGAGTTATGAGCCAAAGTCACGTCAGCGTCAAGTCAGGGCGTTGTTGGTGTTGTTATTTTGTCGAATAGAAATATTTCAAGAAAGTGGCGCCATACCGATTCTGAAACAAAATTATTATCACAAAGTTATTTAAACTCTGTCAAAAAATACGTTAAAAAACTAACATGTATAATTTTATGCTTCTTACCTGGAACCAAACCTGGACGACCCGCATGTCGAGGCCGGTGTCTTGTGAGAGTTGTTCTCGGACGTGTCTCGCAGGCTTTGGACTCGCGTTGTAAGCACTTTTCAACGTTTCCAACTGCTTTGCCGTGATGGTTGTCCTTGGTCGCTTGTTGGGCGTGTCGCCGCCAGAGTCGGGACATCCGTTCGCCTCAACTGGGACAAAAAGAAAGGTCGCTCATCATCATCATCATGATAAGCTACGAGTCACACAACAATCACAAGTGGTGGCTTATCATCACATGGACAAAGAGCGTGGTTGGGGAAAGTGAGACACTTTGATGAAAATAAAAACACCGTAACTCTTCATATAATTTTGGACAATAGAAAACTCTGGGTTTTAAAATATCCACCAAAAACTGTGTGCAAATTTCATTCCATCAATTTCAAAGGTTAAGTTTAATAAGTATCACAATTAGCGTATTGTAGCGAACCTAATAACTGCTGACCTTTCGATTTGGCCGCTTCGTAGTCGGGTTTGCAGACGAGTTTGCGATCTTCCATGAGATAAAACTCGTCCCCCGTGTTGAGTTGTCTGGAGCACAATATGCACACGAAGCACTGGAGATGGTAAACATTGTCTTGAGCCCTTCGAACCACTTGCGACGGAGGAATGCCTGCCAATCAATCCCAATTTCAACGTCAGCCTAACTTTTATTTCATATGTATGTGTTAATAGCAGTAAAATTCTTGACTAAAAGCTCAGCAAATTGCGACTAGATCTGACCATGTTTTTCGCAACTGTGTTCATTTAGCGGATGGAAGAGAGCGAAACGAGCCGAGGATAAAGAGCTTACCTTGCTCACAACCGGCACATCGTGTTCCGAACCTTCTGTTTGAGAAAAACTTCAATGAGTGGGCGTAAGTGGGGTAAACATGAGACACATTTATACCTGAAAAAGTCCTCCTTGCAAAAGACTTGTCCATTTTTGAGAAAGCACTTGTCAGAGAGGGAACAGTCACAGTCGGAGCATTTCAAACAGCGAGAATGCCACGTGCGATCCACCACCTTCAGGATAAAACGGTCCAGAATCATTCCTTCGCAACCGGCACAACGCGGGATTGTCGCTACAAAAACAGACCAAGAACATGACATTAGCTTATTTTTATCTGTGAGTACTAATTTAAATATTTTAATCAAAAAGTAGATTTTCAGTCTCCTTCGTAGGGACGATTCCTCACCAAAGCAGGAATCCTCAACTTTCTCTTCTTGTTTAAGGAATGCGTTGAGCATTTCTTGCAAATCACACCACCAAACTCTCAAATCATGACATGCAAAATGTCTCAACTTTCACTTTGACTAATCTGAAGTTTCAGATCGACGAAAATGACGGATTCACTGCACAACTGAGAATGTCCAAAATTTGAGGGAAAATGAGACTGGGCGAGAGACCATGTTTGACCATGAGTAGCCTTGACAAGGGAGCCTTCGCTTTAACCAACAGCCTCCTACTGTCGACTGTGATGATGAGACATGTGTGCCTTCCATCCCAGTGAATGCATAGTGGATTGTTGCGAGGCTGGAATATGGATTAATCCCTTGTTGCGAGTTCCCTTATTCCTCGCCGTCCCTCCGCAGTCTCCTGATCCCCACTAATTCCAAACCCATTAACGAGTACATGCAGTCAGTATTTAGTGGGATATCGACAAGTAATCCCATCCATGGACTCAAGTCGGAATAATCACCTTTTTTGCCAGCCAACATACGGAAGCCTTTACTTATCCGGTTTCATATTCTGCACTGGAAGGAGGATGAACATAAGACCTTCGCATTAGGGCGGACAGGCTGCTTACAACTCTTTCAAAAATTTCCAATTATGCAATTGCACCACGTGAGCATACGTAACACTGTGAGTCGAATTGAGCCAATTTTTCGTACGGTGGAAAATTGGACGGAAAATATGGGCAAATATGATGACGGGTATAAATAAATATGCATGTTTGCTTATACATATTTTCATATTTTGTTTTCTATTTGGCTGGGAGGCTGAGAAGGGTGAAATTTTAGAATGAGATGATGAAGCCAAGCAAGTCAGTCAGTCGGTGTGGGTCCCTGGTTGTTGGGCTTAATACCCTTTTTCCTCCCAACTAATGCCCGGGTGGGGTGGAAATTATTGTGAGGAGCACCCTTTATTTTATTTCATTCCACCCAAGAGAAGAGAACAGCAGAGCTTTATTTGGACGGAGGGACAGAGTGAATATTTGGCCCATCGTGAATACCTCGCCACCAGCAGATTGTACGATGCACCACTTGTTCAACCAACTTTAACTCTGTGTGTTTTCCTTTTCATAATTTAATACAACGAATGAATGAGTTTAATCAGATTGTGAAATTGAGACTAACTTCATTATTGTGGAAAAATATGTGTGGTGCATGATACACACGCACATGTGTACATGCATTCTTGCGGACTTTCTCTTCTTGTTGTTATAAAAGCACGCTTTTCCATAATTTTTCTTGTAAAAAAACTGCAATTATTTACTCAGAAATTTGACCGTATGATAACTACTTCTCATAATTTTAAACTGAAGCATATTCACCGTTTTGTTGTATGCAATATTTACTATTTACCGTCTTCTAACTAGTCATAGGCGCAATCAAAACTTGGAATTTCAGTCACTTTTTTTGCCAAGTGCTTATTATTAAGTTGATTCCATTGCATATCTTTTCAGGAGCAGGATTTCAAGTCCCTCGTGGGCAGGGAATAAAAAAAGCAAGGATTTTGAGTTGGAAAGTGGATGAATCTCCACGCTGCACAAACACGCTGCTCCCTTATTGGCTCTTAGGCTACTCCAGCATTAGTAGCTTATTTAGAAGAGTTGAGAAAGAATAAAATTGGGAGCGGATGAAACCTCGGAGGAATTCAGATTCAATTTGTACTTCATTTGTCTCTCCCTTTCGAGGCAAATCTGCAGGAGGAGGAGGACCAGGCTCGCAGACAGCTTAGAGAGAAGAAGACTCTCATCCACTACCTTTCCTTGCATAAACTAATTCGCTACAAATTATTCTAGACAGAGGGATTTTTGATCTCTTTGTACAAAGTTAAATCTTCCTTTGTCCTTTTACCAAAAAAACTAATTTTCTCTCCTACACACTTTTCTCTTAAGGAATCCTAAGCCTTCGAACGTTCGTCTACCGCGTCCTCTGGCACAATTTCCAATATCTGAAGCCTTGATTTACATGCTGCACATTAGCTTTATGTACATGTCACGGCTGCATAACAATTTCGTGAATGGCGTGAACGAGTGACAACACAATCCATCCTTGCACCACGATCACGGGTCTACGACGACCAAGCTTTTCCTTTGTGAGTGGAGGGAACAACGGGCGACGGATTAGCGGTGAGATTTTGGTGGAACAACGAACCGGAACAAACGGATTGAAGCCCACTTCCGTCTTCCGCCCTGGACACGTGCGACAAGACCCGCAACACTTCAACACGGCATTTGACGAATAATCCACTTGTTGTCGTCTGAATATCAAACCGGGGAATCAATGCCTCGTAGCTGAGAAGCTAATTTACTGTCAGAAATATTGTTAAAGTTGTTTAATTTTATTGGGAAATGGTCATGCTATTCATTACCACAATGGTGTCCGTATGTGCCCATATACATACATATACCCGTTCACTGCATTCATCACCTGAGCCAAAACACATTAAGAAATTAGTTAGCAAACAGTTTTTGAAAGCGATTGAACGGAGGGAGAAAGTCGCGTGTTTTGCACGTGCCATCTTAATTCCCGTCTTTTATCCTGCAATCAGTCAGGTGCATGGACGCACGCCAAAAAACTCAACCCTTTCCTATTTTCACCAACTCCTTCCTCCACTCTCTCGACTTGGACAAATTATTGAGCGGAATATCAACAAAGATAATGATTCAGTCTCTCTGTTTGCCCATGTCATTCGATATCTGTGAGATTTTTAAGCCTAAAAAAGCCATCGCCACCGACGATGATGATCCAAATAGGAAAGAATTATCGCTAAAATCTTGATGCAATTTTCTCCTCGGTTGACCATCTACGCACACCCACCCAAGTCACACTCCATGACCAGGAGTAAACAGTTGTCAATTAGGAAATATGTGTATTATGCGAGTGCTGAGTGGCGAAAAAAATCAATTAACAAACTGTTCCACTCTTCATCACATTGGTGCTGCTCTATTCGGAATGAAAAAGCGATGGTTGCGGAGATAAGGTCAGATTCATCTCTATTCCGATAAGATCACAAACAACGAACTGGATCAAGGGTGGTCGTCCCTCGTGTGCAGAGTAATAAATCATGGACTTTGTAATTGATAAAAATGAGCTGCTTCATCATCCCAAGTGTACACAGGAGCCTGGTATCTGTTGCAGAGGCCCCTCGACGGGCAGAGAGGCGGACGAATGAATGTAGTCAAGTGACTTTTGACAAAGCGTGACAATCGGAGGGATGGATGGGCCTGATTTGGCCAGAGTCGTCTCATATGCCCCACGAGCATGTAGTGGAGCGTTTTATGGCTTTATCTCTCTCAAAGGGATTACCCCACTTCACGTCCGTGTCCTCAAGGGCCCTCCACTTTTTAAATGCTCAAATGTTTACACCAACCCAATAAATACTTTGTCATCTCCATCCACTCGCTCCCTCCCTGCTCCTCGCCACTCCAATCTAGGCTAATTCAATCAAATCCCATAGTTAGCATGCAGTGAAGATTATGCACAGCTAGCAAAAAATGACAACGACCCCTAGTTTTTTAGCCAGTCATAATGCGTGTGATGATGTGCAGGATCACAAATAATTATCTCTTTTCATTCGGGCAGTAAGTCCAGTGTATTAACTGTCGAGTGTTTGATTTGGATTATTATGCATTGAAAGTATAAATAGTGAGCAGGTGTTGTTTTGTTCTGCGAGGAATCTGATAATGAAACCCTTTAAGTCGTCGCATTGACTGCGACAGCCGTACAATCGCCCTTTTCATGTTGAGTCAATCTCCTTTTTGTTCCCTTTAATCCATCCTTTGTTGCACATAAACAGCAAATGCAGGCCCATTCGGCTGGACATGCAGTCGGTCGGTCGGTGGGGGTGGATGAGACTCGAGGATTCACTGACCACTACATGCGTGACGCACCACGTTCATAAATACATATGCGCCACACCCTGTTTTCCGATCTGCACACGGAAACTCAAATGCTTTGAACTTGAAACAAAGGAGGATTTCGATGAGTATTGAACAACATTTTGTTGTTCTGCATTACGAAAAGTTATGACCACGCCACACACGGCAATTATAATTATGGACACGGTCATAAACAGTGGTGAATTGTGGATTATCTCGAGCACGAGGGAGGCCGCGGTGGGGAGAGAGGAGCAGCAATGTAGGAGGGACACCATCTGGGCAATAAGTTAACTATTTAATGCCCAAGATGTGATCACCTGATAAGGTAATGGGAATCAGTATCATGATGAATGAATGAGGACCAGTCCCTTTCAAACCACGAACCATGCACGCGTACGAATTCAAGAGGTGCTGGCATTGCTACTTTTTACTTTGGACGCTCAAAGGAGCACAGATGGACCACATTGCGTATTAATTAGCATTTAGTGGAGCACTCCTCCAACAAAATTCAGCGACCTGCCCCAATCTCAACTCGCGCAGTGTTATTACGCAAGCAACGCCATTCGTCTCAAATTTTCCATTTGTCAAGTGGCCAAGAGAGAGATGAAATGTGACTTTGTAAAAATGTGCATTGAATTTATTTCCGTGGATGAAAGGGGATAAATATGGAACAAAAGTTGTTAAAAGGAAGGAAGGAAGGTGTGCACCTCCGGTTTTCATTAGTGTAATGACTCCTCTCTCCTTCCTTCCCTTTCCCATTGTGCCTTTGTCACTCGCTCTTGTTCAGCCACCACACACTCAAGTCCACAAGCACAACGAGACCGAAAATGGGTTCGTTTGCTCCATGTTGTTGTTCGAACCAATAAAAAGTATGAAAAAAACAAGCATGACAAACAAACTATATGGACCTCAGAAGACGAATAATGGAGGTTATATTTTGCGGTATGGGTGGTATGGGTTTAGTCAACGGCTTA